AAGCTAGTGTCAAAATATATGCCTGTCCCACAGGGGTATGACAGACCTAAATTTCACTGATGCATCTACTGTATCCAGAGACCTTACAAAGAGGTGTCAGGTTTGTGCAAAGTAGAAAATAGATACAATTATTTACAATAAATACAAGGAGAACATATTAAAAACAGGAAGAAAAAGTTTCACAATAGCTAAATCCTACAGCCCAGGACTTCCTTACCCTTCAGTACATCAGAATTACTCAATTGAAATAAAAGCAAGCAGAACAGAGACTCTGCCAGTTACGCTATCATAAAATAGGATCCACAAAGAAATTGCTTTCATGCAAACCTAAGGATCTTTCTGCATCTCTTTAGAAACCAGCATGGAAGTCGCATTGGGAACTCTGAATTATAATTAACAATTTCATGAGACACGGAAAGGTTATTCTTCTGGCCAAATTTGAAGTCATGCCAAAGGGGAAGAATAACAACGGAAAGGACTCACTTTTGGATTTGATAGAGGACACAGAGATATCATAAAATAGGATCCACAAAGAAATTGCTTTCATGCAAACCTAAGGATCTTTCTGCATCTCTTTAGAAACCAGCATGGAAGTCGCATTGGGAACTCTGAATTATAATTAACAATTTCATGTGACACGGAAAGGTTATTCTTCTGGCCAAATTTGAAGTCATGCCAAAGGGGAAGAATAACAATGGAAAGGACTCACTTTCGGATTTGATAGAAGACGCAGAGACATGATCATCCCACTCTACTCAGAGCTTGTCAGGCCTCACTTAGAGTACAGTGTCCAGTTCTGGTACTCACAGTTCAGAAGGATACATACAGGCTGGAGAGAGCCCAAGGAGAGCCTCAAAGATGATCAAAGGGCTTGAGAACTTGCCTTATGAGGAAAGACTGACGTAGTTAGGTCTTTTCTGCCTGGAAAAGAGAAGGCTCAGGGGACCTCATAACAGTATCTGGTACTCACAGTTCAGAAGGATACATACAGGCTGGAGAGAGCCCAAGGAGAGCCTCAAAGATGATCAAAGGGCTTGAGAACTTGCCTTATGAGGAAAGACTGACGTAGTTAGGTCTTTTCTGCCTGGAAAAGAGAAGGCTCAGGGGACCTCGTTACAGTATTCCAGTATTTAGAGGGAGGCTGCAAAGGGGATGGAGACTCTCTCTTCCCAAGGAGCCACATGGAGAAGGCAAGTTGCAATGGGTACAATTTACACTAGGAGAAGTCTTATCTTCCTATATGAAATATTTGTTTGAGGAAAGACTGACGTAGTTAGGTCTTTTCTGCCTGGAAAAGAGAAGGCTCAGGGGACCTCATAACAGTATTCCAGTATTTAGAGGGAGGCTGCAAAGGAGACTCTCTTCACAAGGAGCCACATGGAGAAGGCAAGTTGCAATGGGTACAATTTATACTAGGAGAGGTCTCATCTTGCTATATGAAATATTTGTCTATACAGTGAGAACAATCATCAACTGGAGCAGCCTTCCCAGGGATGTAGTAGAGTCCCCATCACTGGAGGTTTTCAAGATGTCATTGGACAGTATGTTAACAAATCTCCTCTAGGCTCCCTTTCCACAAAAGTTTAGACCAGATGACCTTTCAAGGTCCTTTCTAACCTGGGGTGTTTTATGATTCTATGATTATTCAGTGCAAATTGCTTTAAAAAAATTCATAGAACATGTCTGCCAGCAGGAAGAAAATTACTGTGTTTATAGGCTCTAAATTAAAACTTGAAATGCTTGGGTTCGTCTCTCAGACATCCATGTCTATCCACATAACTTCTGCCCCAAGGATGTGAATCACTCTGTGTTCACTAGAAAGACCATTGGAGGCAATTGAATTAGGGTCAGATGAATCTTCTTCCAGCCTCTGGTTCTCAGCTACATTTCCACTAGGGGAAGAAAAACTTCAATGTCTCTAGGAGTTGGCTATTGTTGGGTTACAGATGTTGTCATGAGGCAGCGCGATAACAGAGTTCTATAATTACTGCAGATAGCCAGCAAATGGTTGAAACTTTTAACTTCAGGATGGTGGTTGTATCAGCAACCCTTTGTGGAATAGGGGTTTTAACCTGGACACAGAGATCATTGGAGTGCACAGACTGTTCCCTTATCCTTCATTCCTCAGTTAGACACACTCGTGTTTATAGCTAATTCTGCTGTTGAGCCCGTGATTCTGGCATTTCCTGTATCATGGTACCATTTAGTGCTCCAGGCTTGGCCCCAGGCTCTTTTGTAAGAAGTTTAGTATAGAGATGAGTTTTGGGAGAAAAACATTTTGTCATCCAAAAATGGCAGCTCAAAGAGATTAAAATAATTACAAATTCATGTTAAACTCATTAAATTGTTTTGACTAATTTGAAAAATAAAACTGTGAAAGTTCCTCATAAATGATTTAGGGGTGAGGGTTATTGGAAAACATTTTATTCTAAACTTTTGCAGCATTACATTTAAAAGGAAAAAAAAGGAGCAAAAAGTACTTTTAGATTAAAAAATCATTATGCTTTGTTTGACTCAAAACCACTTTTGTTGTTGCTCCTTTTTCTTTCAGTAGAAATAATAACAAAAATCTTGGATCTGTTCCCTCTTTGTTTTGCTTTTTGGTTGTTTTTTTTCTGAATTCTGTGGTTTATCAAGCAAACTAAATCTTTGGTTTTATGTGAACAACTCTGCTTCTACAGAAAGCCACAACATAAAGACCTGGTCTATGACCCAAAGAGCTAACACGGGAGGTAGAAGATCATGCACACAGGAAGACAAATAGAAAAAAAGTGGGTACACTGTATATATATTAAATATACATTGCATGGCTTGCTACCGCCCGACTGCTGAAGGTGGTCAGAATTATTCCAGTTTAATAGGGTACCAGGTGGATGTGCGGGTGAGAGGATCAGCAGGTGGGTCTCCACCACCCAGATAAAGTATGTGCCAAACGCTCATCTGGATTCAGGACAGATACAACTTCAAGGGCCAAATTCTGCTCAAAAGCATCATAACGCTACCTTCATCAGTGGCCTTGAAGGCCTGTCAGGGCAAGGGGGAATCTGGCTCCACAGAAAATCTGTGAGGGCAGAAAAGGTGAATGTTTTCTCCTGTTTGTCTAGCGTTGGAGCATCGAGCATGTGCAGAACCCTCAGTGCTACAATGTTCAAGAGAGGGAAGAAGGGAGGAGAGAGGGGAGGAAGACAACCATGAATTCACCTTAGCATCAGGCTGTGCTTTTCCAAATATAGACCACAAGTTGAAAAGAACTGCAGGTCAGAATGAGAAATGCAGAGGAATTAACCACACAATTGCGAAGGGAGGTGGTGGGGGGGGAGGGAGATCCCCATTCATATTTGGGCAGCAAAAAGAAATCACAGCAATTTGGTTATAGCCTCAGAGGCAGGCAGCATTTACCATATGCTGTTGCCTCCATTAGACAAGGAGATAAACCCCGTGGAGCGCAGGTTGAGAGTTAGATGGTGGGGATTCCTGGCACGCATAGGACTGTATGCCAGGGTGTGCTAAAAATGGTGTGAATCTAAATAAAATCCAGGTTCTGTCTGAAAAAGTAAGTACTCATTAATATGCAGGAGCTAAATGGTAATACTGATAGGGTATTAGTGCTTGCATGTGATTCATAATCAGGGCAGAAAAGGTAGAGTAAAAACCAGTGTTTGCATCTAGACAATACATTAATCAGCCCTGTAAGCAGCCAGTTAGAGCGGGATCCTTAGAGGAAAAGCCTTTACTGGATACACATTAGACATTTTGTTTAAAGATTAAAGTTCTCCTTGTATTTAATCAGTTTTAGAGCGGGATGGAAAAGGGGATTAATTACAGTCCCTTCCATCAGTCCCCCCATACCGCTGGAGTCACGAACGATGCGCCTTTCCAGAAAAATGGCTGCCATCAGCAGCAGGCGCAGGAAATACTAATTGTAATTAAAGAGTTTGTTTGGAATCAGAGAGCAGAGTTTTAATCAGGATGAGAACGGAGCCTTGCTGTGTGAACCTTCAGAAATTGGTTACTGAGCAGAATGGGCCTTTTTAAACCAGAGAGAGGGGTCTTTAAACTTCTGGACTGAGTTTTCAGCTTGATTATCTCCTCAGTGGGATATGGATGAAAATCCTCACTGGGCCAATTATTGCTATTATTTTGCACTTACGTAGCATTTACGTGGCATGTCTTACTTAATGCTCTCAGAGGACTTGTAGTAGGTCCCTCAGCTACAAAAAAGACACTGAAGTTCTGGAGTGTGTCCAGAGAAGGGCAACGGAGCTGGTGAGGGGTCTGGAGCACAAGTCTTATGAGGAGAGGCTGAGGGAGCTGGGGGTGTTCAGCCTGGAGAAAAGGAGGCTGAAGGGGGACTTTCTTGCTCTCTACAACTACCTGAAAGGAGGATGTAGTGAAGTGGGGGTCGGTCTCTTCTCCCAAGAAACAGGAGACAGGACAAAAAGAAATGGCCTCAAGTTGTGCCAGTGGAGGTTTAGATTGGATATTAGGAAAAATTTCTGCACCAAAAGTGTTGTCAAGCCTTGGAACAGGCTGCCCAAGGAAGTGGTGGAATCACCATCCCTGAATGTATTTAAAATATGTGTAGATGTGGTGCTGAGGGAGGTGGTTTAGTGGTAACTTGGCAGTGCTAAGTTAATGGTTGGACTTGATCTTAAAGGTCTTTTCCAACTGTAATGATTCTATGACTCTATTACTTTGCAAAGGGCGGGTATGTTCTGTTCAGTTCTTAAATTGAATGAATTAAACTCTAAAGGGGCTAAGGATGCCAGTTGAAATAATCATGCAAGAAGGCAGAGAGGACACAGAAGTGTACAATGAGGCTTTACAGACTTCTACACTGTAACTCACTACCTCCATCCCAGAAAGGCATCACAGAACCTGGGACCACCACCATCTTGACCTCAGATGTAGGTCTCAGTGAAAGCCTGGGGTAAACCCACACCTCATGGATCATGTGTACACATGACTTTGCAAGCCCTCCAGATAGCACAGGTACTTACCAGCTTGCAGGTAGAACTGTGTCCATTCAAATTCTGACTCTGGGAAAACAGAAACAGGTGGTTCTAGGTCCAGAACACTTCCATCCAAATCCTTGAAAAGGGCTTTCCTCGAGCCTTTGCATCTCTTTTCAGGGAACACGGTATCTTCAGAGGTCTGTACACTGACAGGTAGGAGACATCATGTTATTATGAAGAAGAGAGCAAAGGAAAAATATTGTGTTGTTTGTAATTTATTTATGCTGGCAACAAACACTTCTGCACATACATGTGACATCTTGACATTTAGTAGGTGAACTCCAATGCTCAAGAATAGAAAAAGTAGAAAATAAGTGAAAAATGAATTATACCTAAGCATTTCAGTTGAGGTCTGGCATACTCTGCAAAGAAATTCTCATTTTTCTCAGAAAAGCTCATTTTAGATGGCATGATAATGTATCTCAGCAAACAACATCTCATTTTCAAATAAGTTTATCCAACTTTATCATCAGTATACTCTCGTTAAGGCATAGTGAGCTGAATCACATGCTGAGGGTCTTAAGTGCTTTTCACTGCATTTTGACTAACGGTTTAACACAGCTTAAAGGAACAATCCCACTGGCCGTATCACTCCTACCACAAAGTACAATAACATGTAATCCAGCAAGTCCATGGAGACATCTAGAGACTGCTACATGGATACACATTAAGTCTTGAAGAAAACTTAGAATTTCTTGGGCTCAGGTTGGAAAAACCCAGTTATTGACATTTTGAACGTGGCAAACAGATATCGGCAGAGATTTACGGTAGGGGCAGAGGAACAAATGGGCCAGTGCCCCCAATCAACACAGGTCAAAAGATGTGAAGAAGAAAGACAGCTCCTCTGATCCTGACAGCTAATTCAATTCTTGAACATCTCTCAGAAGATCCAGCATTTCAGCTGGCTGGGTCTACCAGTGGGACAAGCAAAGTATTTCATGGTCTTGCCATATTCCCTGATGTTTCTATTTCCTCTCTTGCTCTAAGGCAACGCTCACCTTCTCTTTGACAGGACATATCCATCAAGATATCCCTTCAGGATGCTGAAGCAGAACAATGCAGCCACAGTATGGATCAAGCTCAGCAGTTGCAAAGGTGGATTAAATAAATGCATGCAGATAATGCATGAGGAACACTGAGAGATGTAATCTCCCTCAGAGGTTTACCAGACTGCTAAGAAAGCCTTCAGTAATCCATGTGCATTCGTCATGTTTGAAAATCACCAGCTCTTGCAGCTCACTAATAGCATAATATTGTGGGATGGATACAAGAGTGAAACATAATGGGAGCTGACAAGCTGGACAGGTCTCAGAAATCTACACGCAAACTAATGCCCAGAGCAAAAAGCAAAAATATAGAATAAAATAAAAATTCTGGCAGAAGGCTGGAGGGTCTCTAAACATAGCAGTACGGGACACCTCCAATTATTTTTGACTGGCAAGTGGAGTCCACGCTGGATTTTTCTGCTACTTCAAGGCTTTCCTGACATAGCCTCTGTATTGTATTCGCTGGTTGTAATAAATAAACAGGCATGTGGTTTCCATTGGATGTGGTATGTTAAAACCACTGCAACCAGCAATGACTTAAGGTTATAGAAGAAGCTCTCCCCTCCCTCCTCCACGTTCTTCCACACACAGATGATATTCTCCCTGGGGAGGAGCAGTTCTGGCAATCATTTGACATCTCACAGCCTGCCTGGTACTGATCAACATTTCTGATGCGATCTCGCAGGCAAAAATCAAGCTCTGCTTCCCTGACCAAAAGGACATTCCCTGTCTCAGGGTTTGTTGCTGGAGGTGCTGACATTTTCTGAATCCAGAGGCTGAGAAGTCAGAGATGCTCAGGATGGAGTTTTAAGAAATGGGATAAGTGAAGCTTGTTTTGCTATACAAATATCAATAAAAGGGGAAATCCAAGAGGATTTGTCTGGACATGCACCTTGATGGAATCTGAACCTCAAATTCAAAAAAAATACCCTAAAAAAATGCTGGGTTTTTTTCCTTTTCTTTTTTTCTGGGTTTGAGCTTTTATGTGCATGTTTGTTCGTTGTCTGAGCTTGTTCATTTTCGCCAGACAGGAGCAGTACAAGAGAAGAGACAGAGACAAAGCATGGGACTGCTCTGCAGTTCAACATCCAGTCTAAACCAATTGCTTAAACTCTCTGTAAGACAATGCAAAAGGACAGCTGATACAAACAGAGGTGGAGATAGTCCCAAAACTGCAGGTGCTTTTTTTTTTTTTTTTTTTTTTTTAACAAACCATTGAGAAAAATAGTTCAAAATAAAGCACGTTACCTTGTTGGGTTAAAGAAGAACATGTCCTTCTCATTGATATGTGGCATCCTTGATCTCTCCGCTGTGATAAGAGGCATGATGCCTAAAGGGTCAGGATTTGACATGATGCAGACATCCCTGTCTTCACTGTAGCAGCTCTTTGTAAAGCCAGTAAAGGTGACTTCTGCCAGGGATGAAGAGAAGATCAAGCGAGGAAAACTGGTTACAGGAGTGCCAGAACCAGAGAGGAAAAGGCTCTGTTCTATGACACTTTTTGTGTTAAATTGTTCCCATATATATATACATGCAAATAACTTTTAAATCAGACAGTTCTATGACACTTTTTGTGTTAAATTGTTCTCATATATATATATACGCAAATAACTTTAAATCAGACTAGTTAGATTGATCATAGGTCTTCAATTGGCTTTAGAATATTCCACAGCCAAGTTTTACGTCTTAAATTGACACAAAACAAGTCATGCCAATGGGAAATGAAATCAAAAGAAATAGTGAGAAAGAAACAAAAGAGAGTGATCAATAAATTTTCATTTGAATCAGTAAGAACCAGTTTAATAACAGCCTTCTTTGGGTGGTTTATCCACTCGCCAGATGTTACTATGAGATGAACCGGGTCTGGTGACACCTGCTGGGCTCTGGCACTGAACACTTGTGCGCCTACAAAATCCATGATTTGCCACAAATTTTCTGTGAGACCCTGGGCAAACCTATTTGTCTTTCTCTGTCTCCCTTATTCTTCAGTATGAGGAGGGTAATGTCTTTTCTTACAAAAGTAGGTAGCAGTGAGGGATAAAAACATAAAAACTGGGAGATATTTAGATCCCATCACAGCAATGAGCTATCTCGGCTCTGCTAATGCAAATATTACACTGGGAACAGTAAAATTCATTGAACAAAAAAGGTGGGATATATAACTGACTTTTGTCCCATGTGTACAATCCCTTATAACAATAAAAGCCATAACTGTTTCTGTACAGGTGTAGTCATAATGTTCTATGCAAATTCTATGAAAAGTGTGCTATTCACTTCCCAAACTTGGTATCTTTATTTAGCTAGAAGTAACTGTAGAGCAGAGAAATGAATGAAGTGGGAAAATTGCACAGAAATCAGGCATGTTTGAGGTAAAATATATACCTTAGCACATAACATAATTAACTGCAGTGGATTCAGGAAGTGAAAAATACCAAATAATATATTTTTAAATTGAACTGTATCCAACTGAAGATGATTCTGTTAACTATTCCACTGAGGCTCTGATTTCCCCACCACATCTGTTTGTGGCTGTGGAAGGCTGCAACTTCAATTGGAAAAATATAGCTAGTAAAGAAAAACTGTGACAGAATAGTCTGGCCAGTGGACGTGGAAGACCAACCTTTCAGTTTCATGAGTCCCAGGACTTTTGGACAATGCCCAGTTTTGTGCCATGGGTTATCAGGCCTTTGGCTGGGAACAGTGGTAAATGTTGGCCATAAAATCCCAACACGGCCTCCTTGAGGGTAGTATGGTGGTCGATCCTTGGCTGTTAGATCAGCTGAGAGAGGCTTGATCTTGTCTCTGATGCAGTCAAAAGCTGAGCTCGTTGCGACAATGACAGAGTTTCTAAGTTCTATGAATCTTTTCCCCGTGAGGCATTGCTTGACATAAAGACAATACACTACTGGCAGGAGACCCACAGTATTGTCCACCAGCACCACATTGTCCATGATGACACTGCTTCCAAGGTGGAACATGACACCATAGTCGTAATTCTTATAGGACAGAAAACCTGTGATTCTAGTGCAGGTCTGAAATCCATCTCCCCAGTACAGATGGATACCATGGAGACTTGAATGGGCCACATTTTCACTGCAAAGGTCTCTTTCTTGCAAACACTCTTGGCCCCTGATATGGAAACCAATTCGCTCAGATCCTGCCACAGCATTGCCACAGAGGGAGACACCGATGACAAGGTTCACCTTGATGCCAGCAACCCAACTTAATAACCCTTCTGGCTGCCTGCTCAGAATAACAAGGTTCCTCACGAGAGAATGGTTTTGTCCTTCCAAATCAATGCCAGGTCCAACTGTGTTGAACACCATGTTATCTTGCAACTTGATCCAGCTGCTCATCACTGCTTTAATGCCAGCTCCGCAGCTACCATTAATGCTGGATGACACCACCAAGGACCCTTGGGATATATTGCTGAATTCAATGGCAGAAAGCTGAGGAGGCCCAAAGTTCAAAAATTCAACATTTAAGAGTTCAAGGACACCTGCAACGAGATAACTATAGTGAAATAAAAGCTTACAAAGTTACCTAAGAACAGGTAAGAATGACACTCACTTAAACAGCACTCAGACATAGAGAATAGCAGGCAGTATTTGTCGGTGTACTGCCAGTGCCAGGTAATTGTTCATAAATATATATATAAGTATAGTAAAAAAACCCAACTAAACAAACTACAGCCCCTCCAAAAATACATTCCATTATTTATGAAGTGTTACTAGTGCTCGTGTCTCATACAAGTCGCAGAATCACAGTTTGCTTAGAATTGCATCACACATGCAAATGGATACATGTATTGTTAGACAGTCCTTTTTTGGGCAGAACTGATCTGTCTGGTCGATGAGGACAGATGAATCTCAACTACCTTCAAACTCTGTCCCACTCGAGTCTGTAAAACGTCCCACCAGCATCCTCCCAGAGCAAGCCACATCAGACTTGATCTGTACATTGCGTGTTAGGAGTCCGACTTCTGCAGCCAAAGGGATGCGTCTACCATCTTCTGTGTCATGGGAACGCCCTGGGGAGTTTCGAGAGAGAAAATGTGATAAGTGTCTATCATACCTATAAACCAGTGCTTTGAGGGACATCAAGCCTGACAGCTTATGCACAGCTTCCCTGCAGAATTGGCACTGACATTCAGGTGTGTTTTTCCCCCAGCACAATCTACACGCATCAACACAAAAACAGAAAGGCCACCTGCCCATCAAATATCCACCATGCACTTATATTTTACCAACATATTTCATTTTTAGAAAAAGAAGGTGTTAAATCTTTTCCCTGCGGTGTGCAGATGCCAAATCAATGACAAGATTCACACTTCAGTTTTTTTCTAAGCTATATGTACTGGGGTTATTCTTCAGTACACTGCAGAGCTGCTCTCCATGAATTCTCATTAGGATCAGACCAATGACAATGCTAAAAAACAATTCGATACATTCTTGGTTGCTTTCTCAAAAGAAGTTTTTCTAAAAGGCACTTTTCAGAGAGTTTATGCAGGTGTCTAGCTTGGAATTCATCTCAGCTGACTTCGGATATCTACAGATATGATTTAGCTATCCAAACTGTTTTCATGTCCAATGGAGAGCAAGAGGCAATAGGCAATTCTCAAGTGCAATTTTTTATCTATTTTATACATCTGCTTTAGGGGGAGATGAAATACAAGTGAGCGGTATGTATTTTTCTGCTTTGATTATCAAGGGAGCCGAGAAAGACTAGCTCATGTGTGAATATTTACAGTAGATATCTACATTTGCCCAGTAATCTTACTTTTCCCATCAGTCCTTTCTTTTTTCAGCTATATCTAACAACTGCTGCAGTACTCAACATGCATGTAATCATTTCATAGCAGGATATATTTATAAGATATATACATTAGCTAAGAAAATAGGTTAAGAACCATTCTTCGGGCCCAAGACTAACTGGCAGGTTTCTTCCTTCTGTCACAAAAAAAAAAAGAAAGGTTGTGCATAAACTACTGGAAATGAGATCTAGACGTGCTATAATTTAACTGCATTTAAAAAAAAAACAACAATGCAATTGTCATAAAAAACTGTACCATGGGGGATACTATCAATTAACAGTGTGGATAATTGCAGGACAGAGCTCAGCTCTGTGTGAAGCTTTGTTTACTAGCACAGGTACAACCATCTTTCTGAACCTTTTCATCCATCATACTAACTTTGGTACTTACTAGCTTGAATAAATACTAATTTAAAAAAAAAGTACTGCTTTCCACGGGAAAAAAATTGGCTTTGGAGCTTCAGAATTTGACCTGTTAATAGCAAGTCTTTTACTTTTGTTAAAGAGATGATAATAAATTTACCTTATGGGTTGAAATAAAATTAAATAAACTGCCAACAGTGCTTTTCTTTTTTCAGTTAAATACAGATCCCATGTAATCTGCACAGGAAATAGAGCTGTATACATATTTTATGTTTACTTACATATTAGATTACAAATACACTGTGGAGCTGATAAAATTTTGCACTTGAAACTCCATGAGTCTAATTATTTTGCAATTTGAAAAAAAAAAAAAGATTTTTTAAACATTATTTAGTTTTCAGTGCACCACAGAAGTTGTGTAAATGGCCGGAGAAAAAAGCCTCTACATTTAGTTTTTTCCTTTAAAATTACAGTTACTTTCTCTGTTAATCAGTTCTTCTTAAAACATGAAACACCAGAAAGTTTTCCAAAAGTACTCAGCACTGAATTAATTCTATTCCCAGAAATTCACGTTAGAATCAGTTATTCTGTACAATTTTGAACATCCCATTTTCTGACTAAACCAGTAAGAAAAAAGCAGATGGAAAAAGAACTGAAGACACCTCAGTAAAGTAGAATTGATCTTGGTGAGATCTGAAATGGAAAGTCAATGCTTCAGAAGTAAAACTCTCACCAGTGGAAAGACAGATTCCTTACCAATATGCCTGTGCAGAAGGTGTTCATGAATTCTTATGCTATGACCATTGACTTCTTTAAGTGTAGCTACTTCAGCCTGGTGGGCTTCGTAGGAGGAAGAGCTGATCACAATATCTCCACTGTGTTTCCAATCTACTTCGTCTTCCACAAAAATCCTGTAACGTCAAGATATTAAGCTGATGTCATTACATTTATGAAAATTATGCTCAGAGATTTCCTAAAAACTGAACAACAGTTTTGGCTAGGCAGATCTCAGAGAGAATCTACAGGCTAGGCTCTAGGAAAAGCACCTTCAGGGCTTTCTGCAAAAACAGATGTCTAAAATATGTGGGAGGAATGTCGTCCTGAAATATCTATTACACCATTGATTAACAAGGTATATAATTCCAGTGCAGAGTTACAGGGCTAAAGTGAGCTGCCTACCAAAGATGTGTCAGACCATTTTTAATGCCAGGAATATCCTCCAGAGCTGAAAACCGACTTTGGACTTAGGCAGCAAAATGTGATGTCTATGTGTAAGGGTATGTTTGTGTGTGTGCACTTGGCATTTAAGCTTCCCCTACAGTTGATCAGTGCTGTCAGTAGCGTGTGGAAGACAATTCAGGTCTCTGAATTGGGCACGTAGGACAGGATTTGGTTGCCTAAACAAGGGCATCTGTTGCTATCTGAGATGTCCTTGGATACCTAAGACGTCAGCTGGTATGATAGGACTTGCTCATGGAGCATTCCTGGAGACACAGGTGGAAGCCATGGAGGGGATTCCAAGGAGTCTTACATGAACTCAATGAAACCTCAGATAATCCCCCAAAACTATGTTTATGTACCTGAATCCTGGCCTTGGCAGCTGAATAGCCCTCTAGGCTCCAGCATCTACAGCTCCACTGACTTGAATGGGAGCTTAAACACCTTTTGCAACATTCCACACACATACAGACAATATAGAACCATTTAGTGAAAGCAAAATGGATAATCATAGGTGTTTATATATATTTGACAAACACCCAAAGGGTCCTATTAAAGGGTGACTGGTGCTGGCCAGGTGATCATCTATGCTCCTCAGGTAATTGTTGAGAAAGCAGACCACTGAATAAATTCCGAAAATGCCTCATCATGCACTCAAGAGTGAAAAAAGTACAGAAAGAAAAGAAAGTCCTAAAGAGATGTAACTCACAAGCTGTGTTGCCAAGTTTTCCTAGTGTCACATCTCACAGTTTTTTTCAAAGATGAGTAGGCTCAAGATGAGTACTTCCAGTTTTCAAGACTTGTGAACATTCAGTAGAGAAGTCTAACATTTTGTAAGACACTAATCTATTGAAATACTAATTTAGCTTTTCAATGCAAGCAAGTAAGTACTTTTTTTTTCTCCTTCTTTTTGAAACCATAAGTCCTTCCCTAACTCATGTGCTGATTCATGATGGAAAATATATATAGCACCTTCTATCAGTCAGTAAAAAAGCCAATTCCTTCATAATCTAGTACTTTCCTGTATCTAACTACATTAACTCTTAGCTGGCTAGCAATAAAGTTTTCATGATAAAGAGTTTGGGGTTTTTTTTTTCTTTTTCTTTATTTTAACAATGGAAACAACTGTGCCATGTTTAATGTGGATGAGTGAACTCCAAATACTTGCATCTTAGCACCTCATAATATTTTATGTAAAACATCTGGGCAGCAGACAAATACTAGCTTGGATCCATTTCATCCAAGAATTTTACTGGCATGCTTCACTCAGGAATCTGCTTACTCTGAACTCCCATCCTAATCAGGGAAAGAGAAGAATTTCCAGAGGGTGATTCTAACATTGTATGGTTTGAATCAGCATCGGGAAGTATCTCCACTGACTATACAGCAATCCTAAACAATCTACACTAGATTCTCAACTGTGTAAGAGCTATCAACACACGAATCCTACTTCTGAGGTCTTTATGTTTCCATTGCACATCTCTACAATGAGTTTCCAAATAATTCCTTCCCTAAATGCCGATATTTCACCTCTACAATGATGGGAACTCTTCTAGGGAGTTTTTGTAAAGCTTGACTGACAGACATTTTTCTTTGAATACACATATTTCTGTTAAAAACTAAGCACTTGGAAGAATTATAGCAAAGGGCAATGAAAATTTTGTGCAAGGCAGAGTCTAGAAGGAGAGCTCCAGAGAGAGCTAGTAGGTGCCTGCCCCACACCGACTAATGGTCAATACGCTTCCAGAGGAGATATTTATGCAGACAGATTTTCTAGTTCAGGTGAAAGGCTTGATCTTCAGACCATAGACACCTATTTACTTAACAAGCACCTGTGCCATCTCCACTTAACCTGGACAGTTCTGGCTAAGCCTTCAGACTTCATGGGTAAGTGATGATGAAGATGAGTCAGCTGCAGGGGCTGTCAAAGCTTATGGATTGGAAGAAACAGGGGAGAGAGCAGGTGGCTTTTCAAAGCTGTTTTTGCCAAGGTTAAGTGAAAAAGCCTTGGAAGGCTCACATCCCAGACAGAAACCTTATTCTTCAGGCTACACAGACTATACTCCAGAAACCACTTCAAAAAGGAGTGAACTAAGATATTGAAGAACATGGTTCATATCCCAGTTTTGCTTAATTCAGAGATGAGATTTTAACGTAGGTCTCTGAAACCAAAATGAACATCCTAATCACCGAGATATCAGCCATTTTGGGGAATATCTCTTCTAAAAAGAGAGAGAAAGGCAGAGGGACAGCTGGAGGAAGGGAAAGAAGGAAGAAGGACAGAAGCAAGCAAAGAAAGATAGACAGAAGGAAAGAAGAAATAAGAATAATCTTTATTCTTCTTTAGGATTAAAATTAATCTAAAAATTGTGTAATTTTCTTGCCAGAGGTAACACAATTGTTGTTCTTCTGCCTAGCCATATTTTAAACAAAGCCTATCACAAATGAAAAGATTAATACAATTCATAGGAAAATGAATACAAGTCATAAGAACAGGAGCCCAAAGTTAATATTTGGAAGCATATTTGGGCAAATTACCACCTTTCGTTGCCAGGAGCAACGTTAGTTCCCAGATGTGTCCAAGATGTCTTAGGGTAAGCACTATAAATTTGCACCTTTCCATAAACCCCTGGAAAAAACAGAAGAATGAAATCAAAAGTTATGGAAAAGAGAAGAACTGAACCAATAACTAAATAAATGGGAATCTTTATACTTATTAAAACCTGTTTCTATATTTTATAAAAATTTTAAAAATAACACATAGTCCCCGCTGGAAATACAAAGTGAACTAGAAATAAACCATAAATAAAGTAAAATGACCATCACAGGTAAAGGCAAGAAAGGGGATTGCAACACAGAATTCTTGTTAACACAAACTGGAATTGTAGGCAAAGCTAACTACCTTAAAAATATAAATCTACCTAAGTAAACAAAATAAGTCAAAAATCCAGGAATGAAAGTTACAAAAAATTACTTAGTTATTATTTATATTTCTGATCTGTGAAAAATTCACTGGGGTTTTTTTTCTGGAAAGGGGATCCAAAACCTGGCCAAAAAGCCAAAATATATCAAGTTTTCCTATAGATGACATGTTCTAGGAAGATTACTTTTGAAGCATGACAAATTTCCAATATCCTGCATTGAAATATTTTGTTTTATTTTGCTGATTTGATCTGAAATCTCTCAGTTTCTGTCAGTTCAACGTTTATTCTGTCTCACTAACAGTGACACGCTGCTTCAAAGGAGTTGTGCTTCAAGTATTTAGTGACCTCATTTTACTGCTTTGGTCAATCATCTCCTCCATGGACAACTTTTTCCATGACATACTGTGAAATTTGAGGGCAATTTGTTTCATCCTGTGAGAGACAAAAGATAACTGAGACCAAATACCCTCTGGGAATGGGTATTTCTCTCCACTTGACAAGGTTATCTTAGTTTTAATACTTTCAACTTTGACAATTACCTTTTACAAATCTCAAATCTAGAACCAAGACCAAACCCTTGAACATGTGCGTAAGTCCTTTTAAGTCCTGTCCAATTTCTCATACAAAGACCTCAGGATTTGACACCTGGTTGGTCATTTCTGTGAAATTTTCTGCTAAACAAAATCGCCACAGAAATTCAGGAACGGACCTGGTGAAGGTTAAAAAACTTAGCTCAAAAACTATGTGTACCTCAGATGTTTTCCTGTATGACATAGTAACAGGCTCAACAGTGGTAGATTTGCCTATTGCCTAAGTTTGGTTTCCTATCAAAAGCTGAACTCATGTTTCATACCAATACTCCCTGGGTGGCCATTTATTTCCTCCAGGCGATCACAGTAAATCCCTTCAGATGTCCGAAGAAGGACCAACAGCTTTAAATCCCTTTCTAGGGGATGTTGAAAAGAACCTGCAATAAAGAGAAAACAGTAATAACCCACCACAGAGGCATCAATGACTTTTGTAATGCTGAAATTGGGGGTGAACTGGGGCGGGTGAGTCAAAATTTAAAGGTCTCAATGGCTGAAGTAGCATTTCCTCTGCAGCTCATTTTTGCCTTTTTTCTCCATTACAATTTCACCAGTTCCCAGGTAATCATGAGTTCTGCAGCCAGGATGGGTAGAAAAAAAATGGAAAAGACCAGGGAAAAAAAGCAGGGGAAAAGAAAATGCCCAAGAACTTTGGTGTTTGTGATGTTGCTCTTATCTTGTGGTGATAAGTCTGTACAGTAAACGGTATTCCAACTGTGACTTCATTTATTTCACCAAGGGTAGTTTACAGTTTCAGAAGAAAATGGCCCAGCACTAAACAGATACTGAGGAGGAAAAAGTAGGACAGTTTTTGCCCTGGAGAAATGTATGTGGAGTCCAGTAAAAGAGTTCAGTGTTCCTTTAAAATTAGAGATTAAATCAATTATGCAACAGAAAACTGCAGCAGATGTAGAACTAAAAAATATATACATATCAGTACAAAATTAGCTGGCCTGTCATGTTCTTTTAATATTTAAAAATTACTAGTTTGGAAAAGAGTGCCGATTTTGTATCCTAAAGAAACATTCTTCTTTAGGAGCATTTTTTAATTAAGTGAAATCAATAAATAAATTCATTGTTCCCCACCGGTGTTTGACCGATATCTGGGGATATTTGAATTCTCTGTACAGCTTTTAAATGGGTAAAAGCCAAACAGTACAAGTGCTCCCCAACTAATACATCTCACACCAGTGAGCTCTTATCTTCTCTGGGGACATGAAGGGGATTGAATCTTACAGTGTCCATTGTCCACCCAAATCATCTTTGACTTTTTTGTTTAAACTACCATAGCTGTGTCTGAACAAAAGAAAACCAGGAACTGGGCTGTAACCAAATACTACTTTCAGAAGGCAAATCTAGTGATAAATGCTTTCATCACTGATGCACTAGGTTAAATAAATATCCACCTAGAGCAGCAGAAGAGTTATGTAGACATTTGTGTCTATTTTTGCACGCAGAGTGATTGTTTTCCTGCTTCACTCTCACAGCAGGTTGTGATTTAAAATACTCAGCCTGAACATACCTTTCCTCATCCTCAGGTCAACTTCACCCCCTGGGATAAAGTTATTATCTACACCAAAGACTAAGGAAAGACTCAACAAAAATGTTTGGAGACCTTTATATTGATCTTACAATGTTACTCACAATTACCATTTCCTCATCATGATGATGTCCTCTTAAAGTGGGGGATTATTATTCATTCTCATTATAAATTACTGTTGGTGTTATTATTGGTGTTATTATTTTACTGCTGGTTACAAAGCATTTACTATTTCTTCTAGTTAAGTTAGTTAGAAATAACTATATGATATATCCAATTCTCAGCTCAATTTTATAACTTTTTTTATGGAGGCTTCCAGACTTTACAAACACAGGCAAATTCTTGGAGATGTGAATTCTAAAAACTTGAACTGGAAGTTATCACTCCTTTAGAAGAATTACATTTACCTAAAATTTGTGATTTTTAATCCTAAAAAGCATGACAATAGTTTAAGGAGTGTTACCCTTGTTAAAGAAAAAACCAACACAAGAAAATAATCAGAGAAAGAAACACGGAAGTTATAATATAACTATTCATAATAGTTCATTACTGTATTAAATCCTTAGAAAAGAAATTAAAAAATGGGAAGATAATGTTCACAGAAATTCTTCAGTGGCTGGAAACTGTAAATGGTATATGACACAAAAGAACACAGGAGATACTTATTAGTAGAAAAATGAGACTTTAAAAAATGTATTTAGAACAAAAATAATCTTAAATGAATAGTTCCATTTAAATCTATGGATTTCAGTAACTTGAATGAAAGTTCCCTAGAAGAGTTGGCCCATCAACTCGTTGGACTATTAAGGAGGACTTTTCAGTAAGTTTGGGATCACTCATGATGACTCAGAGCGCTTGAAGAAAGCTAATATTGTGCCAATATTTCAAACAAAGATAAAAGTAAGAGCCCCAGGTAATTACAGGCCTGTCAACTTAGCACTGATTCTAGGGGAAAAATAAATAAAAATGGAATGTCCAACTCTGAAGACAATTAATAAATCATTAAAGGTGGATGATATAATTAATGCCAATCAACCTGGTTTTATAGAAAAAAGGTCCTGTGAAACTTCCTTGTTATCATCTTCTAATGAGATTACAGGTTTGGTTGATAAAGATAATAGCTTTGATATAATATAATTGGCTTCTCCAAGGCACTTGGCTTAGTAACACAAAACTTTCTTGATTAACAAACTACGCTGGTACGACACAAACATGGCACACATTAATTTACAGGCTGACTGTAAAGGGGCATTGACTCAAACAGGTCTGATCTCACAAGCCCTGTGATATGCAAAGTTTTGTCAATGACCCAAAGTAGTGTGAAGGCACTGAAAGTTAAGTAGATAGCTGATACAAACGGGGAAAAAAAAAAAACAAAAACAAAAACAAAAAAAAAAAAGAATTAAAGAGATGGGCCAGCAAAGCTGGGAATAACTTGGAAGTGAAGAATTAGGAAAGAAAGTGAAAAATGTTCAAAATATAAGATGACAAGTCTTGAAAAGTAATGCTTTGTGAATGGATGGAGAACAAAGGAAAACAAAGAGAAAAGCTGAGTAAGGTCTGAGATCTACGTTTGGCTTAGTCTAAATACAGCCCTATAGAATGGCTCATGAAAATGAAGATATGGAAACTGCAGCTACCTCAGCGTACTCATGGGGAAATCCAAAATAGTTAAGGCACACAAGTCACTGGGCCTGGGTAAGTTTCATCACCTTAAATAACTATGAAATCAGAGCTCTTGTAATAAGTCGTTTTGTTAAAACTCCCAAGTTGCCATAAACACTGGAATCATTCTGCAACACGTAAATGGATGACCTGGGTTCTAAGTGTCTGGCTTTGAACTTTGAATGTAAAAACTTCAGGTCCCTTGCCCCAGTTTATTGTGGTGAACATGTCCTACATGAGATCGCATCAAGCTGTTAAATTACCCATCCTCCCTTAGATGCTCAGAAAAGGATCTCACTTCATACTCCTACTACAACTGGAAGGCTTACAATTTCATGAGCAACCTGGATGATCATGAAGTGAGATAATTAGGTAGTGCTGGCAGAGAAACGGAAAAAGATAAATGCAACCAGAAACTGGAAGAAACGTCTGGTGAGATGTGCAGAAAAGGTCAGGAGGGACTAAAGAAATCATACACAGAAAATAAGCAGAGCTTCCTTGAACACGTATTCTTCCAATTGTAAAGTTTATCTGGAATTTGAAGGGTTTGCTCATCTGTACAGATGTGAAATATCTGCCACACTGAGCAGTGCTCATAAGCAGTGTCCACTCTGGATGTCCCAGGTATTTCTTCAGGGCAGACACAGGCAGCAACCGTGCAATTTCCAATGAGCAGGGTTTTCTGCACAGGTGCTGCACAGTCAGTTTGTGCCTTCATATAGATGATAGATATCACATCAAATGGCCTCGCTGCAGGTGTGTGACCTTCTAGAAGGGGTATCAGAAGCTGATGCTCTTCCAGGAAGTGCTGCCACTACAATACATGCACTATACAGTAAAAGAAAACCCCTAAAGATGATAATCCTATGTATAAGAAACAACCTATGCTGCTAATAAAATCACCACTGATTACATACTTCCCTGAAGAAGTGTGAGGTCCAGCTGCCTAGATTGTAAACAGATTTGTCAGATTAATGGTTCAGCTGATTCATAATCCTTCACCAGGTCTAACCTCTGGAGAGTATAAAACCCAACTATGCAAAAACAGAAAAACAAAAAAGGGAGAACAGAGAGAAAACAGTGGTTTTTCTACCCAGATTTTCACTTATTCTGGACTGCAGCCTGGATCTAGTTTGCTGTTAGTTTCAAAAGCCTTTTCCATTGTTTTCATATTTCAGTTTTACTCCAGATGTTCTTCCTGACAGTTTTTTGTTGTGTTTCTGTCTTTTTCCATAGCAAAACCCATTCAATTCTTTCCTAGAATAGTGGGTGTTTCCTCCCTTCCAGCCTTTCCTTTCTTTACAACACAGCACTCCGCCACAGCTGTTGGGTATAAGAGCAAGGAAATGTCTGAGATAAGATCCCCTACTTTCCATTGGCAAATAGACTTTGCTAAGTATCTTGCTGTGACCATCTCCGATATCAGCTCTGTGTTTCCTGAATCCAAAACTTCTTGGACTCTACCAAGAGTACAGGTATCTAGAGCAAATCACAGTCTAGGCTATATGGACTCAGCCAGAGAACATAGAAACATCTGCATTAAGCAACCTAAAAGTAGGTGTATGAATCTCCCTGGAAACATAGCATCATAGAATTGTCTCGGTTGGAGGGACTTTTCAGATCATCAAGTCCAACCATCAACCTAACACTGACAAAAAACATCACTAAACCATATCTCTAAGCACTATGTCTACCTGTCCTTTAAATACCTCCAGGGATGGTGCCTCAACCACTTCCCTGGGCAGCCTGTTCCAATGCTTAATAACCCTTTCAGTATAAAAATTTTCCCTAATATCCAATCCAAACCTCCCCTGGCACAACTTGAGATGAATGTCCAAGGAATTAGAAGTGAGACACCTAGGAGAAAATCCAGTCTAAATACAGATGTCTAATGCTTCCTGGCACCCTCAAAATCCACTATGTCAGTTTGGCAGATACAAGATTCATCTCTCACTCCTAGCTGCTGGTTCCTATCCCACAGCTGTCTGTCTCTCATCTCTTCTGATTATTTGGCAGCACCATCTGTAAGAGACAACCCGTGCAATGTCTCCTTATTTATAGGCTGCTTTTGCAGGCTTCTTTGCAAAGTGCAGTCTGAACATCTGAAGGAACTGCTTGGGAAGGAGAACCAACACTAGGTGACTACCCAGCCATGTATTGACCATGAATAAAACCTCCTCAGAATTTCTGGTGATGATATATGACAGTTTGCAAAATATCTAGGCAGTGTCATGGTTTAGGCTGGATTGGCCAATGAGGGACAACAGAGAAGAGCATGCCTGACTGTGGGTGTTTCAAGTTATGTGAGCTGAATCCCTTCCCTAGATGATATGACCAGTTAAAAGAAACCAAGTGTCTTGGAAAGGTTAAAGACCAAACAGATGGACGCTGAGAGATGAATCAAAGAGGATGCAGATGGCGCAATGAATTTTTCAAATCACTTTTCCTGTGATCAGTGATGAAAAATTGCTCTCAATACACCCACGATAGTCCATCCTCATACAAGTTGAATAATAGTGCAGATATAGTCACACAGAGATGTGACTGCAAGATAGGACTCAGCTCACAGCTAAAGAGGGGACCCACAACATAGAGCTACTGGAGAAGTTGGAGAAGAAAAGTCAGTTGGTGAAACTCACTTGTGTCCTAATAGTCGTTATAAGGCTGAACATTAATCATAACTAACACATGCCAATTTCATGAAGTACAGTGATTTACCCTTTGGGAAGTCAATATGGGGGTTCTTACTAGCACTGAAAAGAAGGGGAATTAACATATTAGAGCTCTCTTACCACAAGCGAGATAAAAGATTTCTGAAATGTCTGGGGTTTCATTTCCAGACAATCAAGCCATGAGCTAATGATGACTTCAGGCTTCTTGCCTCAAATGAGTGACGTGACTGACAAGCAGCCATCATGAGATATGCAAAAAAAAGAATGTGACAAGTTGAGACTAAAAAGAGAAATCCTATCTGGATAATTACTTAGTGAGTTCTACTATAAAAAGCAAAAATAGCCTGCCAGCAAAGAGCAGCCGAGTAGTGGAGTTCAGGATGAGTCCAATGGATCAATTTGTGCAAAACAAACTTCAGCATTTTCTGCAGGAGCTTATCAGGAGCTGAGGGCTTTCTTCAGCAGTGGAACAGGGCACTTTCTGCACATATCATCTGTGCTATAATGCTGATTTATGAGTTAAAATAAATGGAATCATCTAGCAAAGAACCAAAAAAATCCTCCGAGATGTAAAGCTCAACATTCCCTTTTTCATTCTGACACAGGTGTGCTAATGATATTTAGCAAATCACTTCATTCTCTGAACCTCAAACTTTCCTTCTATAAACAGGAAAAATATCTTAATTTTTGCAACACAGGGAGATAGAAATAAATCATGTTACTAAAATGTTATTGTAAGTATCACCGTAAATGAAGAGTCTTTGAACTTTTAAGTGAAAGAGAGAAGCTTCTTGTCTTGGAGCTAGGACTACTAGAGAAGTAACCAGAAAGTCTTCCTGGATCCAACAACCCTGAAGGGCTAGGAACACCTGGAGAAATAACTGTGGGGACAAATTTATACATTTTACTTCTGGCTTGTCCGAGGGCTCTGACAGAGTTCTTGAAGCCCTTTACAGAGTTTTAATTATCTCACATCTCTCAATACCTTGTTGATCATAATTCACACTGGATTGTGATGACAAACCCTCTAGGACGAAAAGTGTCCCAAGAATCCTAATGTCCCAGCTCTGAATTCAGTTTCCTTACAAATTATTGTTATAATAAAATTATGTTCTGGTTGATGCTTCATAAGCTCCAATTTTACACTGATTTTTTTTTTTTTGCTTTATTGTATATTTCTCATCGTCACTCAGCTTCTATGTATTTTTAGTCTTGTTTTAACCATCTGACTTTGGCTTTTTTTTCCCCTCAGATTAGATTTCCAGTGTTCTGAAGGGCACCAAAGTCCAAGATTTGTTTGTAGAACGTATTATTGTTCTCTAGCCGTTTAAGTGAATGAAATACTCAGGCTTTTCCAGAGAGTCTTATTTTGGCCCAGGCCACCGATAACAATGGCATGTGAACAAAGATTGCGCTGCTGAAAACAGGGCATAGAGAAGTTACACAACCTGGAGGACCTGGGGATTTGGCTCACGTGATGCCATCCTCAGATCCTGCTCAGGCAATGCTGAATGCTGATGTCCACATCTATTAAATCTGTTTACTAAACTGTCTCATTATCTATTTTGTGTCAGGATTTCTTTAGGGTGTGGTAGAATTGGACAGATGGGCTTCAAAACCTTCCTTCGGGCATGGAACAGTCAGGATAGGACAGATGGGCTCCAAGAAGTTACCTTTAGGCCTCGAACACATGGGAAGTGAAAGAGGAAGGGGAAAAAAAACCAAGCACTGAAGCCAGTATAAGATATGGGAAACTTGCAGAGTCTCTCCCCACCTCTCATCTCACGGCTGAAACTAGAGCAAGGATACCTCTCCAGAAGATGTTGGACTATGATTCAACAGCTGCAAATACCTGTTTGGCTTTTAATATCATTACTACTCGCAGATGTGCTGGAGGGGAGTTTGTGCAGCAAAGAAGTGCCTCAATGTTTTTTAATAAGTGTTTTTAGCAACGAACACATGCTTTTTCTTAAAACCAATATGAAACCATATTTAAACTACAAAAGAGCCTAAGTGAGAAATGATTGAGCCTCTTTTAAGTATATATATATTAACCTCCCAGATTAGGCTTTCAAACCCCTTTTTCCAAAGAAAAACACAAGGCAGCGAAATAACTCTTTTGGCCAGTGCTATATTAACTAAACAGTCCCTTGAGACTAACAACAAACAAATATTGGAGCAGACTTCCTCGGGAGGTGATTACACAAACAAATTCTCTTTTTAAAGTTCATGAAACCAATCTTCAGAAAGGTCAAGCAGTGATCAACAAAGTGATCCCAGCATCCTAAGGATTCCTGTAAGTAAATGCAATGCCTGGCTTCAGGAACCTCAATATTTAAAAGGAATTATGTGAGTAATTACTTCTGTGTGGAAAAACACTGATTCCGTCCATTGCAAATAATGTGGAACAGCCCCAGTGACATTGGGGACTCTGAAACCACTAGAAGTAGGGGCAAGGTGGCACCTTCCTGAAGTCCTGGTGCACATCTGTATAGATGGATGAGAGGAACAAATATGCTGAATCCAGCTGTGCCAGTTTCATGCCACACCAGGATTTCCAGGCACACTGGGGATTCTCCATGACTCTGTTTATGTTGGCTTTAAATACTTCTGTGCTACCTAGAAAATGCCTCACTAACGCCCACAGATACCAGGCACTGCCTGAACACTAAGGTAGATCCTGCCCTGAGGATAAATAAAAGCCCTGAGGCCCCATCTCATAAAACAACCTCACATGAGGTAAGGAGGATTTTTACACACATCAGATAAAATCTCAGTCATGATGAAATGAGAAGTTTTGCCACTGACTTCAGTGGGATGAGGGTAGCAGGATTTGTAATATATTGCTATTAACCAAACAAGTAATTAGCTCCAGTGGATAATCATTGGGCTGAACATGGATCCTGGGTGTCCACATTGCAGATTCCCAGACAGCTATGTGGGATTACAATGGCCAGCATCTTTACAGTAACACTATACAGTCTTTTTTCCCACTTTCTGTCTGTCGAGAGCAGAGATAAACCCCAGGCATCCAGAAGACAGGTTGCTCACTTACCCACTTTCAGCGTACCCCCCAGCACCACGATACAGGCTGCACTCAGGACGTTGCTGGAGTTGCTGGGGAACTCGAGGGTCCCCAGGACGTAGAGACCTCTCAGAGGGGGAAGAGCCATATCCACCAGGATGGTCCTGTCTGAGAAACAAAGCAGAGGGTTGTTTAGAACGATGGCAGCCTACCAACACCACTCACCAAAATGTGTGATATCGAGGTGAAGAACATTAGCTTTGCTTTATTCAGATTACTTTTGCTTAGAACTACTGGAACAGGACGTGTACAGCATCCACAACCAGAGCATCATCTACAGCTGGGGCTCCATAATGTGGCTGTAATCTGATAAATTAATAATAACATCATATTTACAATTATGTTGTTGCATGCTTAAGTCTCATCTAGTGTCACGTGAACCTAAGGAGAGATTAAGGAACACACATGTTTTCCAAGAGAGTTTGACAGAGTGGTGAGAATTCTTGAAACATAAGATGTGAAACTTGAAACAGTTTTGCTGTGTAACATAGGAATGGGCATGAAGTGTCTTAGGAAGTGGATCAGCTACTGCACAGTTTTGCTTTTGCCTATTGCCATTGGCAACTGCTTTGGATGAAGATACAATTGACCATGCAATAGGTAGCATAGGGAAAGTCTTTTCCCAAAAGAATAGGTTTAAGAATTCTTAAACCTTTGTGCTAAATGGCTTGAGCTAGTTAATTCTTCCAAATCGTGTTTGCAGGAAATGTAATCAAAAAGTACACAAAGTGCATTCCGGAGCGGACTGAAAAAATGTGAGTGTATTGCCTTAATATTAGCATTTCATAGCTTTTGACTTCTTGGTTTTGCAGTCCTGAATTTTCACAGCCTCAGGGGAGAAGAAACTTCTGCACAGTCCGGGATCCTGGATCTGCTTGGTTATCTGTTCTATATACACGTTCCTATTCTATCCCTGTAACTCAGTCTTCCTACCTCTTCCTTTATCCTTTTTTTTCCCTCTTTCTTTCTGGACATCAGCAAGGAACACCCTAAAACCCTAGGACCTCTGTTTTCAAAGACTATGGCCAAGTTATCCTACCTCTTCCTTTATCCTTTTTTTTCCCCTCTTTCTTTCTGGACAGCAGCAAGGAACACCCTAAAACCCCAGGACCTCCGTTTTCAAAGACTATGGCCAAGTTCCTGCAGCAACCCAAGGTTACTCTGAACACCCCATCTCAAAAGAATTTCCCTGCATCCTCGGGCTGAAGCATCTTTCAAGCATGCAGAATTTTCACAGCATTCAGACATAAGAAATCTCTACAGAGCAAGCGCATTTCCCCCCCCTCCCCTTGCTTAATCTCATACTGTTAGTACTTGATACATTTTTACAGGCATGAAGAAACTCCTGTCTATAATCTCTTTTACAGGACAGGTATAGTCCTATGCCCTGCAGAGCTGAGAAGTGAAGCCACAGTATGTGAGGATATGAAACAGAAAGAAGAGAATAAGGGGGGAGATGTTGTTAAAATGATATCTCTCAGACAGAAGGGGAATCTAGTTTGTGAAATCACAGCTCAAGAATGTGGCAAAAAGCTGCAGTTGACAAAGGCCATAAGTATATTCATCAAACATAGACTGAAACATTTTTACAAGGAAAAGAAGAAGTGCTCCTAGGCATACCATTTATATGTCAAGTTTCAGTCTAGAACAGATATTTTTGCTGAGTTGCACATCTTTGGAAAAAAAGGTTTTATAAAGAAAACGCTGACTGCTCTGTAACTGTAACATCACGTATGTGAGCCTTGAAATGCAGGAGTGAGAAATTCCCCCATTCAGAGATATTTCTGCAAACCTATAGCTACCTCAGTTTAAAAGAATAACACCCTGGGGTGTGATGCTTGGAGTGTGAAGTCCTTGGAGGGTGAAATGTTGCTCTGTGGAAACAACAGAATGCTCCTTTGAGGAAAAAAGTCCTTCCACACTTGAGGAGAAAAGCAAACAGATTCTAAAGAGACCTCCTTATGCAGCCCTGACAGAATACAGTCATTTATGTAGTAAAGGGAGATGATGACTAAGGGGTTAAAATCATAAACTTTATATCACTGAGCTCACGGGATTTACCTTCAGAGAAAGACAAACTGGGGTTATTTCTCTCCCATTAAGACATTCATATAATAGCAAGCAGCTACTTCCAGCAAACCATAGTTTGAGCCTGAAAACGGGGCTATGTTTCATTATACGTACACTTTCTTCAGACAAAAGCTCACAGGTATGTCACAATCTTAATGTTCGGATGTACAATGCTGAGAAGTCGCTAATGACTCCAGCAATGACACAAAATGCCTTTGATCAACCGCATCGCTATATAAAACACCATAGCATGCCATTGAATGGAAATCAGGCACAACAGAAGAGCTATTATATGAGATACAGTGCTCCAGCATTCATCTCTTCAAACAGAAAAAGTTCAAAGAAAATCAAAATCAGAAAATGAATAACAGAGTGAATTCCACCACTGGAAGGAAAAAAAAAAAAAAAAAAAAAAAGAGAAGAGAGAAATTGCCAGAGGCTACATGATATCATATCAATACCCTTCAAAACAGCATTCCATCGCCTGGAATTATAACACGTTCTCCTTCCACCCAGAGCGCACTGCGTCAGGAGTGTGTCACACTGAAAACCATAAACCAAAGCCCTGAAAATCCGAGGGCTTGAGAAGCTCATGCTATTGCTGGCCACCATAATGTCATGACTAAACTTGTCCTGCTTGTTTTTCAAGGTGGTGTCACCCCTGAAGCCTGATGCATGTGAGAGGTCCTTGTGGGATGCCTGTGGTTCTGGAGGATGAACCTCCAGAGATAAAAGCACAAGTTGTTATGGCCTGAGCTAAATCTTTCCAGCTGGGTTTGGAAGAGACTTATGTCTGCTGGGGACCCAGACACTGAAGGGACTTGTAGCACTTTAGCACAAGAGATCTGCCTCTGTTGCAAGTGAAAATCATCCTTGGATAAAGAAGTCCGTCAACTCCTGAAGTCCCACCAATGCTTTCAAAGCAGGGAAAAAAATAGAATAACTTAGTACACAACCCTGATTTCCAAGCCCTCCAAAAAGCATCTTCTAAATGTGAAGCAGACAACAAGCAGTGACACAAAATCTGGGGTTCAATATGAATGTTATTCTAATAGAGGTGTTTTCTACCTCTTCAGATTTTCCTGAGTCCGGCCCACGAGGCAGCCCTAGTGATGTAATTTGCTTATTTTGTTAAATAACCAAATTGAGGTCTCTGTTAGCTAACTTTAGGCAGTGCTCTAAGCTCTTCAGTGAACTCTGTGAATCCTCATTAGTTCAGAGATTTCAACAGTGTCAGACCTGGACCACAGTCTTCCCCTGCACTCCTTTACTCTAAAATTAGCACTGAACATCTACTATTTCTTTTTGTAAGACTCTAAAACTGTTTGGTGGCTGAAAGCACTTACCCAGCAATACACAGCATACTAGAAGTAAGCCCATGGCTTGGCTTTCAACCTGAAAATCATTATTGGTGACTCCCAGAAGAGAATTATAAGCAACTAAAAGGCAGTGGAGGGTGGGAGAGAGATGCATCTTGCCAGAAGTGGATCACAAAAACTTATTTTGGGGTGTACAGCAGCACAAAGTTTGGGCAGTTTGCAGAATGTTTGTTCTTATGAGAACTGTTCTTTAGCCACTTGGAGTCATTCCGAGTTTAGCAAGATACACACACAAGTGGCAATGGGAAGAGAAACATCCATAAAATGCCACGATTAAACACATTTAAAAACTGTCGATTTCATTTTAGATTTTGGACCCAAGCATGGGGTTGTCTTTCTTGCAACCAGAAACTCACTTACACACTTGTGGCAGCAAAGCAAGGTATGACAAATGGACTGAAAATTCGTCTTGCCTAACTAGATTTTTAGGTGTCTTCATTTAAGCAAAACATCCAGGGCCCTTATCACACCAATGATGACTATGACTCCAATTTAAGACCCTGAACTCTGTTGACTCCCACTGCCAATAAGTGTTTCAACACCTCCAAGCCAGCAAGAGTGAAGAGGGAGAGTAAAAATAAAGTTGAGACAGTGAAAATGAGAAAATGCAGGTATGCAATAGAACAGTTCCCTTTCGAAATATATTGATTGATAGACAGTTTGTGTTCATGTTTATGTTCATATTCTTGGGCTAAACTGAAGGATAATTCCAGAGACTCGAAATATATTGATTGATAGACAGTTTGTGTTCATGTTTATGTTCATGTTCTTGTGCTAAAACTGAAGGATAATTCCAGAGAGGCACTGGAGAGGAGAATAGTTTCTGCTCATCAACTAAATACGCATCTACTCTAGTGATGGGAGCTGAGATTTTTACTGCTGATAGGAAGAAGACAGTCATGGAGTATGACTCTCTCCCCATCCCAGCAGGTAGTGCATTTTCACACAACATTTGCTTCTTTCCTTTTCAACCATAAGTATTTTGCTATGGTTTTGCCATTCAGTAAAGCTCCTCTGAAGAGCAGAGATGGTACTCACTTACACACTTGTGGCAGCAAAGCAAGGTATGACAAATGGACTGAAAATTCGTCTTGCCTAACTAGATTTTTAGGTGTCTTCATTTAAGCAAAACATCCAGGGCCCTTATCACACCAATGATGACTATGACTCCAATTTAAGACCCTGAACTCTGTTGACTCCCACTGCCAATAAGTGTTTCAACACCTCCAAGCCAGCAAGAGTGAAGAGGGAGAGTAAAAATAAAGTTGAGACAGTGAAAATGAGAAAATGCAGGTATGCAATAGAACAGTTCCCTTTCGAAATATATTGATTGATAGACAGTTTGTGTTCATGTTTATGTTCATATTCTTGGGCTAAACTGAAGGATAATTCCAGAGACGCACTGGAGAGGAGAATAGTTTCTGCTCATCAACTAAACACACATCTACTCTAGTGATGGGTGCTGAGATTTTTATTTCCAGCTGGGTTTGGAAGAGACTTATGTCTGCTGGGGACCCAGACACTGAAGGGACTTGTAGCACTTTAGCACAAGAGATCTGCCTCTGTTGCAAGTGAAAATCATCCTTGGATAAAGAAGTCCGTCAACTCCTGAAGTCCCACCAATGCTTTCAAAGCAGGGAAAAAAATAGAATAACTTAGTACACAACCCTGATTTCCAAGCCCTCCAAAAAGCATCTTCTAAATGTGAAGCAGACAACAAGCAGTGACACAAAATCTGGGGTTCAATATGAATGTTATTCTAATAGAGGTGTTTTCTACCTCTTCAGATTTTCCTGAGTCCGGCCCACGAGGCAGCCCTAGTGATGTAATTTGCTTATTTTGTTAAATAACCAAATTGAGGTCTCTGTTAGCTAACTTTAGGCAGTGCTCTAAGCTCTTCAGTGAACTCTGTGAATCCTCATTAGTTCAGAGATTTCAACAGTGTCAGACCTGGACCACAGTCTTCCCCTGCACTCCTTTACTCTAAAATTAGCACTGAACATCTACTATTTCTTTTTGTAAGACTCTAAAACTGTTTGGTGGCTGAAAGCACTTACCCAGCAATACACAGCATACTAGAAGTAAGCCCATGGCTTGGCTTTCAACCTGAAAATCATTATTGGTGACTCCCAGAAGAGAATTATAAGCAACTAAAAGGCAGTGGAGGGTGGGAGAGAGATGCATCTTGCCAGAAGTGGATCACAAAAACTTATTTTGGGGTGTACAGCAGCACAAAGTTTGGGCAGTTTGCAGAATGTTTGTTCTTATGAGAACTGTTCTTTAGCCACTTGGAGTCATTCCGAGTTTAGCAAGATACACACACAAGTGGCAATGGGAAGAGAAACATCCATAAAATGCCACGATTAAACACATTTAAAAACTGTCGATTTCATTTTAGATTTTGGACCCAAGCATGGGGTTGTCTTTCTTGCAACCAGAAACTCACTTACACACTTGTGGCAGCAAAGCAAGGTATGACAAATGGACTGAAAATTCGTCTTGCCTAACTAGATTTTTAGGTGTCTTCATTTAAGCAAAACATCCAGGGCCCTTATCACACCAATGATGACTATGACTCCAATTTAAGACCCTGAACTCTGTTGACTCCCACTGCCAATAAGTGTTTCAACACCTCCAAGCCAGCAAGAGTGAAGAGGGAGAGTAAAAATAAAGTTGAGACAGTGAAAATGAGAAAATGCAGGTATGCAATAGAACAGTTCCCTTTCGAAATATATTGATTGATAGACAGTTTGTGTTCATGTTTATGTTCATGTTCTTGTGCTAAAACTGAAGGATAATTCCAGAGAGGCACTGGAGAGGAGAATAGTTTCTGCTCATCAACTAAATACGCATCTACTCTAGTGATGGGAGCTGAGATTTTTACTGCTGATAGGAAGAAGACAGTCATGGAGTATGACTCTCTCCCCATCCCAGCAGGTAGTGCATTTTCACACAACATTTGCTTCTTTCCTTTTCAACCATAAGTATTTTGCTATGGTTTTGCCATTCAGTAAAGCTCCTCTGAAGAGCAGAGATGGCTTTATTGTATATCCTTCTCTAAGCAGCTGAACACAGTGATTTGGAACTGGGAACTCCCATCCTGCTCAGGCAACAACTTGTGTTCTGGTTTTGGGCAACCTTTATTGTCCTGGCTCCTCAGTTCCTCATAGGCAGAGAATATTCCTGTCCATGGTAATATACAGATCATGTCTAATAGTCCAACCCTCACCCTGCTGCCTCCCAATCAGTAGCCACCAGTATGCCAGAGAGAATCCCTGTACCGCATCCCTCAGCCCAGTGCAGACATTCCCCGGTTAAACCGACCAAACCATCCCTGCTCTAAATTCAGGAGATGTTAGTTCTGACCCCAAAGGCTATGTGGTCATGCTGCACAGTGCCAGGCCTGAGCTAATGAGCTTTGCCTCTCCGGAGAGCTAATTAGTTCTGGTATACCAGCGTGCTGATACAGCGGTATTGCTTCCAGTCCCAGAACTAGATCAGTTGGGCTGGGTTGTGGGCAGCAACGTGCAACCCTTCAGGCACAGCTTAGTCATGAAGGGCCTTGTGGTATGTGACAAAGGCCACGGTCAGTATCTCACATGGTAGCTAAAATTAATTATTTTATTGGGAAGATTACATTCAACCTTTTGGGAAAAAGGTGTTTGTGATGTGATGTCCTGCACACGCTAGAATGGATACTAGTGCCAAGGAGCCCATATTGCAACACAAATACATATCGTAATGTAGACATACCCCAGCACCCATACAGAAATTAAACATCTTTCATTCCTTCCTTACTAGGTAAAATGATGACATCTTCTCCAGGGCCTGGGATGCTGTGGTTGAATCCACCCCAGCCTTTTTCCACATCATTCCATGACTCTGGATGCGACCATTTCAAGACAGCATCAGAAGGAACTACAAAATAGGACATACAAAGGCAGAATTATCATCTTCAGTAGCTGGAAGAATTACCATTTCTTTGATAGTCAAGCATCTGTGGCATTAACATCTTCCTTTTGTCACTGGTGAAGCAACACTAACTGCTCTTTGTTATTTTCCATGCTTAAAGGAAGCTGCCCGATGGGAAAAAAGATCTCTCCCAGGATCATGTTTTCAAAGTTAAAGGGCAGGGAGATAACTGAAAAAACTGATTCAAATTCTTTGGGATCCATCAAAAGCAAAGCAAATCTTGAGGTTTGTCATGGTTAGCTTATGTTACGCCTTGTGAATATGCTTCTCAAACAACTACATTGTTATTTTTATTTGTGGCATTTAAAGCTCTGAGCACTTTGAACAGAAAATTAAGATGAACAAATGAAAATAAAAGCCAGTCACCTGTGTTTGGTGGCAAAACCAGGTCATCACAATGGCAACTGACCCTGCCAGAAAGTGCCAACTCTTCTCATGCATTTTTTTTCCCCAAGTGCTCTAGGGAGCAGATTGAATTCCCAGGACACAGGAATTTCCACAATTTCCCAAAGTATGAAATTTTTTTAAAAAGGAGTGATCAACTGTCATGATCCTGTTAGCCCTCAGAAAAGCAAGACTCTTCCCATTGCAAAGGATAATTAAGCCCTGCCTCGGAAAAAGCAGCTTGACTGAGACACGTTGCCTCTCCTGCTTGTTCCCCAAAGACATATTTTTCAGCTCATTCCAAAAGGAAACTTCTGAGCTTTAGCATCAGGAAAATACTGGGAGAAATGAAGTTCACAAAATGTAGGTGCTTAACTTGCACTTGTACTTTAGACAGCTAATGAGGCAGCTTTCATAAATTAATTGCCTAAGTTTGCTCTGCTGTCAGAGGGGAAGGAAAGCATCTGGGGGAAATCCTGTCCACTAAGTTCAGTAAGCCCTAAACTAACGCAGGCAGGGCCTCCCTCTGGAGGCCTCTACAAGCACCTACCTCTCTCCTAGCACTGTAAAGGAAATTTTGGCATTTATGTTCTTTTGGAGGGCTTCATTAGGTATTGAAAACACAAGGACAAGGTCATGTCTAAGTGTGTGTGTGGGGGTTAGACCCTGCTCAGTGACACTGCAGAGTAGAAAACCCCTCCGTTGCCAGCACAGGGAAACACAGAGAAATGAAACCCAGGTGGAGCTCCTTAAAGCTGGGTCTGTCTTTCCATTACTTGCTTGTTCAGGGGGAAATACTCTGCAAAAAGGTCTCTAAGCCCTATTGCCACATAAATCATTATTGTTCTTAATATGCAGCAAGGCAGCTGTGCAACTAAGACCAAACTTTGGGGGTCTCCCTTGTCTCTGGTGGATTTTTCTGTCTGGTTCAACATTTAATTGTGCTGTAATGTCACATTATTACACTAAGATCACTATGGAGCACTAAAATGCACTGTAGTCTTACATATCCCATGACCTTTCTGATCTGCTGTGGTATTTCTTAACAAAAGTTTATAGTCTTCTGCGCTGTGGAGTCACACATTTGTCATGAGCAATGGTAGATATGGCTCAATGAAATGCTTAAATGAATGCCAAGAACCCCTGTTGGGTTGATAGATGTACAAAATATTGAAGTGAAAAATAGCAGCCTATTTCTGAAAAAGTGGTGAAAAAGAAACGGTGTGACTCCCAGATTTCAGAAAGACCATCACGCACCTGGCGTAGGTAAAGCCACTCTTTCCTTCTCTTTCAGTGTGACCTGAATTAAATCAGCTCCTGCAACTAAACACAGAGAATTGTAGGGAGTTATAGCAAGGCCTCAAAAATTAACAAAAACAACAACAAAATCATAGTAAATCAATTGCTACATGTGATTTTCTGACAAAATTTAAGAACAACCATACATATTTTCCAAGCATTCTTGTCTTTTTTTATACTTTGAGAAAGGATTAAACAAATTTAATTTACAGATACAGAGGGTCTCAAGACAACTCATTAGAAACAGCTAAAAGGAAACATTCAACAATCAGAAATTCTAGGCTGGAACATGAATCTCATTTATCCCACTATAAATCCACAGCAGTTCCACTAACACAAGCAATATTACACCATTGAATGCATAATGTATTAACTGGCTCCAACAGCAAATTAAAGCTTTTGTTTTGCAGTTTGGTTTTGATTCCCAACACCACCACCAACACCACCCCCCCCGCCCCAAATCTGGTATCTCAAAGAGGTGCTTTAATTAGCCAGACTTTATAGACTGAAGACAGGGACCCTGTGTTCTCTGCTGTGAAAAGAGGTCAGAAGCAATTATCACAGTTGTAACCTTTGTGCCAGTATATTGTCAGCAGGAGAAGGGCCAGGATAATGCTAATCAAACTAAGAGGAGCAGGAGAAAACTACTTTAGACCCAGCTAAAAAACTACCTCCTCTTCATCTCCAGTGGCATATAAAGGCACTTCCTTTCAGTCACCAGACTGGAACAACTGTAGGTTAAAATAGAAACACTCTGACAAACATAAATCTCCTGTCCACTGCCCAGCAACCCCTTACGTTGACCCTAAAATGTCATCGGAAGATTTTTTTTTTGGTGGCAGGAGAATTGTATGAAGGAAGCCATTGTCAGAACTTTCCTCAGTTCCAGAACACGCCAAGAACTTTCCTACATGTGTATCAAGCCACCGATGGGATTTCATGCCATATTGTAATTTACTTATTTTATCTTTAAACAAGTCTCTGTACTTTTAAATTGTGAGAACTGTCCTTCCCCACCTCCCTCCTTCTCTCCCAGTGCAACTGAGCAAATTTAAAATAACTGAGGTTCATTAATTTTAAGTGTTCAATAAATTAGTATGAATAATCAAAAAACTTGATTCTTTCTGATAATTACTATTTGATGTCAGTTGAAAGCACTCGATTGAGTTAGCAGCATATGCTCCTATGCCAAATGAGGCTTCCATAATTAAATAGAAACTGATTCCATGAGGTTTTTCTCATATCTGATTAATTAGTAATCAGGTGCCTCAGCCCTGTTCTTCAGTGACACCTTCACTCCCAACGGTAGCTGTGATCTGATCCATATATCAGTCAAGCCAATCTGCCCAAAATCATCACACAGAGCTCAAACTGAACAGCATCATGCTTTTGGGTGGCCACAAGGTGAATTTTTCAGGAGAAAGAATGGCAGGAAGCTGTTAATTTAAAGTGTTTGACGCAGAGTTCATGTGGCTTCTAGACAATACTCTTCTACAAATACTTTTATGGTTATGGTGACCTTCCTTCTCTTCTCATAACAGGGCAAATCAAAAGTCAAAGGTGTTATATCAGTCTCAGGAAAAGTGAGAGAATAAAGCCCTGAATACCCATTTTTCAAGAAATATATTTTGTCAGATTTGCTGGAGATTTTTTTGCTTAATTTTGCAGGCTCTACAGTACAATCATTTAATTAAGGGTGTTTGTATTGTTCAGAGAAAAGCCATTCTAATTAAATCCTGAGGGGACATAAAACTCAATCAATATGCTATATAGACCTCATAAAGGGGTTCAGTCCCCCAACAGGGTGAAGAAATGACCCATAAACACTTAATTCAATACAGTCATGTCTTGATTCGGAGCAAGGATAAAAGTTCCTTGTATTTGAAGTGTCTTCCAACCACAGAGCATGACAATTCAAACCATTATAAGTCATTTATACCCTCCACATGAGTGCAGGTATTGGGGGCTGAATTCTGCACAGCCCTGCAAGTTGCACAATTATTTATAGTGGTGGGGAACAATGGTTGTGAATTAATAGTGTTTTGTTGCCGTTTCCCACAAATACTTCTAAAACCTGATCAAGACAGGAGAGATATAGGCCTTGGGAATAATCAAAACTACAGTGACTTAGTCTTTCTGGTTGTTTTGTTTTGCTGCTGAGTACGTTATCAATGTTTCTCTACAGGACAGGAAGAGATATTGGCAATACAGATGAAGGACGTCATTACTAAACATTGAATTAAGGTGACGCTTCACAAAATGTAGTTATAAGGCTCCAGGGTTTAGTTGTATAAAACCTTTATAAGGCTCATCAATTTTCTGTCTTATTACAGCTCTTCCTGGATGTTTGGGCTGTGAATCATAAATATAGGCCTTCCTGACGATACTCCTGGTAACTTTCTTCTGGTTCAGGGCTCCTTGAGTGAACATGAAGGAGGAGCAACTTAGTCTTTTATCAGCTTTGCAGTGACGGGGAATTTTGCCTGTGGATATTAGGAAGGGCTGAAACTAGGATAAATGGCTCCAATAGCCTGACTTACAAATAACAAGCAACTCCATGCTATTTAACATCAATTGGGCTAACATAGATCACAGGAAAATCAAAACTTTTAGACAACACAATCAACAACAAGGTGAGACACACCTCTAGAAACAGGAGAACCGGGGATAGGATATTTTGTGATCCCTTACCAGGTTCTGTTACAGGAGGCACCCAGAAATATGGTATAATGAGGACACAGCAGTGAGGGGAAGAGATGAAAAAAAAAAATAACCCCCCCAAAAAGGTGGGGCTAATGGACATAGATTCTTGCTTACAACAGATTAATATTTGCAGGGGCAGAGGTGAAGGCATGAAATTCTTCCTGCAGAGATCGTATAGTCAAAAGACCATTCCTGACAGGATGATAAAGGCATTTCATCATCTTATTTCTCTAACTGCTACAGTCTCCAGTCTCTCTGCTGCCATGCCAGGAGGACAAGATCTCATCTGCCAGGAGAAGGTGGATTTTTCTCTTCATGTCTGTCACAAAGGGCAGCTCTTCGCTAAGACACTTCATTTCATAGATGCCACTGAGCAGCCCACATGTGGTCAACTGACCTTCTGGAACAACTGATAGAGGGTGAGTTTTAACTAGCTGGAAGAAAAGACTCATGTAGAACCAGTCCTCTGCAACAAATTAACTCCATTCTTTAGGTCTTTCACCTAGGATTCCCCTTTACCCCTGAGCAATAAGGCTGCAGAAAATATCTTTGTTTATTTTCTGTGTTTTAAAATTAGAAACAAACAGTCTTAAGATCCTGATTTTTCTCCTATACAAAGCAATTACAGGAACCCACAGAGAGTAATGGAAGTGAGATCATTCTTTGGTAATTTAGAAAAGACAATAAATGTAATCAAATTTTTTTTTTTGAGAACTATGGAAACTGTAAACCTGCTTCTGACACAGCAGTAAGATGAGGTTGAGCCTCAGGCCCTCTTAACAACTCACACATGAGTAGCTTGAGCAAAGTCAGCAGGATGACCCATCTCTGTAAAAGTTGTGTCTACTGAAAAATTTGGGGGAAATAAAAAGTTTGATAATCCTTTCAGTGATGTTTTCAATAATGTTTGTGTTCAGCACTTCAGTTTTAGAAAAAAACCAAGAGACGTCTGGACATGAAGCAAGCCAACACTTTGTCTCATTCCAAAAGAAAAGAGTTTAAACATTTCAAAAGTGAACAAAAAAGAAATAACATCTCTGGTTTTTAGCCCATTCCAGTATTGCCCAGAGACCTTAACCAAGCAGCAGTGCCACGCTGTGGCACCATATGCTCGTATTTGTAACAGACTTAAAAAGCTCATAATGTTATTACTGTAATTTAGAGAGGATATTTCTCCTAAAAATATCCCAGACATCCCAGTCTGATGTTTCTTTCCACCTCCCTTCTTAAGATAAAGTTTTTTTTGATTCAGCATGGTCACATCATGTTAGGACCAGTCTCCTGAAACATGGTTGAGCCCCAACCTGTCAATGTTTTGGGGATCCACACAGCGATTTTAAAAATCAGTGACCTCGGAGGAACACTTCTCTCAAGAAGTGGGGTGCCCCAGAAAAAATCAGAATGATGCTATGAAGACTGAACAAACCGAAACCATCAGTCTTTTGGGGACCCACACAGCAATTTCATGGCCCATCAGTGACCTTTGAGGAACACTTCTCTCAAGACATGGGGTGCCCAGGAGAAAAGCAGGATGATGCTTTGAATAATGTCAAAGGAAAGCCAATGATGTAGAAATGACTGGCACAGGATGTCTCAAGCTTCCTTGTCTCCCTTTCACCCAGCATCCAGCAGGGACATGGGGTTATCTGTCCTTCAATGCTGATTCCTTTAAAATGGTATGAAAAGGTTATTTTCAAATGGACTTATGTGTTAGTTAACTGGGTTTCATATATGTAGTGAGTACCTTTGTTAACAGGATCATTGCGTAGGCAGCCCACATAGCAGAAACATTCTCCATTACAATTATTTCTCTCCATTCAGTGTCCCCTGCTGCATTGTCCCATGCCCAAGCCTAATTTACAAAACTTCAAGCATGCAAAGCATCAGGGCAACTTAACTCCTTTAATCCCCTCCATACGGTGTATTTTCTTGCCTTTTGTGTTAGACAGACCTCTTTTTTTCTCCCCCAAAGATAAACAAACACTTGCATGACGCCAGGCGATTTTGGATGGAAGGGGGGGGGGCATGGAGAAAGCCCTGAGCCCGACACAAACTGCTGGCCAAGGTGGCTTCATTCAGCTGCCCGCTTTGTTTGAATAACAATATCTTCTCAGTCATGGGGTTTTCCTTTCCCTTTTCCCCCCTTTCCCCCCTCCACGCAGGCCCGAGCAAAAGGCTGTGTGAATTCAGGAGCCTGCTCGTGAATGAGCTGGCATCTGATCCGTATTTACCGGCGTTAATTTTGGATGTAATGCACCCCTGCCACTTCCCCACCGTTTGCCCTAAAAGGCTTTCTGAGGGGCACAAAAGCAGAGGGTCAAAAGTAAGTTGACCCCTGCCAGAATGTACAATTATTGGGAAGAGGCGGTACACCAGCAGCTGTCGAAACCCCACCGGCGCGGCCAAGTGCTCCCAAAAGTCGGAGGATGACTAATAGGCTCGAGCTCTCCCCTCCGCCCCTGCAAGAGCCGGCGACTTTCTGCAGGAAGAATTATGGCCCTCCCGAGCAGCTGCAATAATTGTCTTCCCATTGTCCCCCGGCCCTCCCTCTGCCACCCCCTACAAGTGCCCATTGTCGGCTCCGGAGTCAAGTGATTATATGCTTGGGCTGATGCTGTTTGAGCCCAGCTGCCCCGACCGCTGACACACGAGCACCCAGAGAGGGGGACCCCGCGTCTGCGAGACGGGACTCCGACATACCAGACCTTTTACATAAGTCAAACAGGAACAAATGACTCTTTATCAGCCCCTTCTCCCTTTGAAGTGGCGGCTGCTTATAGGCCCTTACAGCTTTTCCTCCTTAGCCCGAGCAAACATCCTCCTTTTGATATGCTACATGCTCATTATCTCTGCCCCATTTAATGATTTTTGATTGAAGGGTGGCAGCGGCAGTTGCCAAGAGGGTAGTTAAAGAGGCTCCACGCAGTCAGGACGACAAGAAAGGCTTTCCTTGTGCAGCAGCCTAAATTTGGAGTTTCTTAACAGTGTGTTCTTGTTCTTAGCAGCAGATAAGGGCTGAGCGTGAAATTCTTAATTAAGCAGTAAATAGAGAGTGGGGTGTCAGCAGATGCAGCCTGTAGCCATGGAGACCAAGTCAGATGAAGGAGGGAGCTGAGACTCAATGCCGGCCCCGGGCTCGGGCATGACTGACAGCTGAAGAATCCGACAAAGCTTGTAAATGGGATTAATTAGTTGGCTAATTATTTCATATAGTTAAATGTAAATAAAAAATAAAAAAAACCCAAAACCCTCAGCTTGCAGAGTTAGGCAGGAACGCGTTCTGAAGGCCAGACCTTCAAGCGTTGTCCTCTGCAGATCTGTGCGTGGACCAGTGGGTTTTTAGGGCCAGAAGGGACTATTGTGGCAGCCTTCTCTGACCTCCTACAGAGTGTGAATCTCGCCTCATGAGGTTTTTAATAGCTTCTCGTAGAGCTGGAGCATATTTCTCTGAAAAGACGGCCAAGCATCATCTAAGGACCCTGAGTGATGGAAAGTCCACCACATGCCATGAGTCTGCTCTGATGGCTAATTATCCTCACCCTCTCAGCCTGCACAGCGGAGATTAGGAGAGAAATTAAATAGCACACCAGGGCTAGGAATCCGCTCGCTTTGTTTCATACTTTTACCCTACCAACTGCATTAGATATTAGGTACCCGACACTGAATTATTGATCTCGCTGCTATAAAAGTCCTTGCTGAAAATGTTCACAGCATGAATTATACATGTTAGGTGTTTTCATAAATTTCCCCTTGTGTACTCTGGATGATTATTTCTCTCTGTATTGAAATGAGAAACAACAATAAGTTCTTCATATAATAAAAATCAAGATGAAAAGAAGGCAAGGAAAGGATAAGAAAGTATCTATGATGCGAGAGTGACATATGCCGGCCAGATCACTTTGTCCCAGCCTTCCCAAGACTGTCATCTCCTCTATCTTCAACAGCAGCAAGAGGCCAAGATATAGGTGTCATCCTCTGAGCTTTCCCATGCTGTTCTCTTTATGAAAGTGCAAAGCAAGATATGCAAGCTGAAAAACAGTTGACTTCTCTATTTGAAAGAAAAAAATTACACTGTTAATAAATTGAAATAATAAAAACATATTTCTTCTTTCAGTAGATACCTGGCATGATCTTGGGCGATGCTTAGACTCAACAGCTAGATTTTTACCAGCCAAACTATATCTATACTGTATGTAAAAAGGGCCAGGACATGGGACTAAGAGCTGGACCCCAATAGTCTACATGGCTGTATTGCTGGCCGAGTTCCTGGCAGAGCTTTGGCCCAAATACACTATCCCAGATGGTGACCATTACAGTTTGGGAGTTAGCACCGGACAGGGATCTCTCTTAATTTGAAGCCTGGGTGCATCCAGCCTGTTTTGAGAGATAAGATACTAAACTGGATGGACACAAGCTGTGCAATGTCAGTTGGCCACAGGGCCAGAGATGGATGCAGCAAATGAGACCCTCAGATTGAGGTTAAGGTATGGGTTTCCTCATTTCTCCTCAAATGTACATTGGATGATTTTCATTGCTGTCAGGCTAAATTTGCCTGCCCTCATTCCAATGTGTTTTCCTCTCCACTGTCCCATTGATTGTTCTAGTTGTGGGTTCCTGCACAAATCCTACATAAGAAAGTCATTTGTATGCCATCTCATCAGTGCAAATCAAGAGTAATTCATTAAAACTAATGGATCAGATCAGTGATGAAATTTTCTGTTACTGTGAAAATCACCATCTTTATACTTTAGATTCCCTGTATGACAGTCACGAAGGATAAGGATGCTTCTCAAAGGCACAGAAATGTTTTTGTGATTCCTGCTTCTACTATTATTAATAATGGCAACAATCATTACCTTGATTTTTACGTATAGAACTTGGACCCTTAATTGGATGATTTTCATTGCTGTCAGGCTAAACTCAGTGGATTGCCCGCCCTCATTCCAATGTGTTTTCCTCTCCACTGTCCCATTGATTGTTCTAGTTGTGGGTTCCTGCACAAATCCTACATAAGAAAGTCATTTGTATGCCATCTCATCAGTGCAAATCAAGAGTAATTCATTAAAACTAATGGATCAGATCAGTGATGAAATTTTCTGTTACTGTGAAAATCACCATCTTTATACTTTAGATTCCCTGTATGACAGTCACGAAGGATAAGGATGCTTCTCAAAGGCACAGAAATGTTTTTGTGATTCCTGCTTCTACTATTATTAATAATGGCAACAATCATTACCTTGATTTTTACGTATAGAACTTGGACCCTTATAAAATCATTTGCTTGAGAACAGGAATTGTAGAAAATGTCCCAAATTTCAAAGATATAAAATCATTTGCTTGAGAACAGGAATTGCAGAAAATGTCCCAAATTTCAAAGAATAAATGAAACATGCCTCAGACTGAGGTTAAGGTATGGGTTTCCTCATTTCTCCTCAAATGTACATTGGATGATTTTCATTGCTGTCAGGCTAAATTTGCCTGCCCTCATTCCAATGTGTTTTCCTCTCCACTGTCCCATTGATTGTTCTAGTTGTGGGTTCCTGCACAAATCCTACATAAGAAAGTCATTTGTATGCCATCTCATCAGTGCAAATCAAGAGTAATTCATTAAAACTAATGGATCAGATCAGTGATGAAATTTTCTGTTACTGTGAAAATCACCATCTTTATACTTTAGATTCCCTGTATGACAGTCACGAAGGATAAGGATGCTTCTCAAAGGCACAGAAATGTTTTTGTGATTCCTGCTTCTACTATTATTAATAATGGCAACAATCATTACCTTGATTTTTACATATAGAACTTGGACCCTTATAAAATCATTTGCTTGAGAACAGGAATTGTAGAAAATGTCCCAAATTTCAAAGAGAATATCTATCAGTAAATATCAATTTCTTTAAAAAACGACCTAGTGTAAAAAAACAACATACTCAAATACAAAGGTCTATGACATCCCTGGAAATTTAGGGAAAATTCTCACCCAATAATCCTATTGCCTCCAGTGGGCTCAGCCCAGATAGATTGCACATGATTTATTAATGATACATGTGATATGGGACCAGCTGACAACAGAGATCATTAGCTGAGTTTAATGCCTTTCTCTCTTCAAAACACTGATTCAAATTCAACTTATGTAATATCACCCACTATTAGGATACATTCCTTTTGTTGTTAGATCAGGTACTGGATAAGTATGATAGAGAGGAACCCAATGTGCATGCATTTACCTATCTGATTGATCTTTTTGAAGACATCTCAATGAAACGTCATTGGAAGATAGCCTTGTGTCTAAGGCTATATCTAGTTTGGGGGTTTAAATTGAAAAAACATCAGCTCTGCCACCATTCTTGAACAAAGCTGTACATTGCATCCCTCATATGTCACTTACCCAAGTAGGTTAACTTCCTCAGTCTGCTGTCAAGATACCAGTCACAGCTCCTGTGATGTCCATATGAAGGCAGCAATTGGAGTGGCTGTCCAGTCCTTGTCCCACAGGACACCACAACCTCAGGATGGGCAGGAAGATCCTTGTGTTCCACAAGCAAGTAATTCCCAGTCGTGAAGTTGCTAAATGTCACTGAATACTACAGAAGAGGGAATCAAAATAAACACACCTGTATCTGTGATTAGAGCTCCATGGACTGTAGTATAAAGGGATCAAGAGGGTTGTGCTCTTCACAAGCAACATATACTTTTGCAAACTGTGCATTAGAAACATGGCAGAGAGATGTACCATTAAGCAGAAGGCAATGGTGAATGCAGACAAAATCAGCTGCCCTCATCACCTTTAAAAGGTGCAAAGGAATGATGTCTTCTGAAAACTGTGCTTCACTATGTCTTAAGGTAGTACAAATTTTGTTGTTTCCTAAGCACAAAACTGAACTTTCATCTAAGACATCCAAAATCATCTTCCTGCTCCAAGTTACTACTGAGAGCTTCAGGGACTAGGTCACCATACCTACACCCTGCCTATAAAAACACAGAGATTTTCTCAGTACAATTAACACTTTTTTTCTTTTTCTCCCTGCTATCCCAGAAAGATGAAAGCATTATTATCTCTTCCAAATATAATTTTTAAATTATAAAATATTCCCACATTACCTGGAGCTGTTTGCTGACCAAAGGGTTGTCAAAAGTCAATGTATAAGTTTCTTTATCCAAGAGGAGAACCATCCAGCCATACAGGTTTGATAAGGTATCAGGGACGTAATTGACTGTGGTTGTCTTGTTCCTGCTGTCAGTCACAGTTAAATTATAGGGAATGGCTGGAGCATCTTTTCTGGAGGAAAAAAATATAATCACATTTTTTTCAGTGAACTCTTTCATTTTGAAACATTTGTAGTTCTGTTTTTATTTGAATTACAGTAGTATATGCTGTCTCTCTCTCAGAATGTGACTTCATTTGTGTAGTTCTTTACAAATACGGTAAGAAACAATCTCTACCTGAAGTGCCATAAAAAGAGAAAGAGAGGAAAAGAGACAATTAAAAGCACAGAGGAGCAAAGTTTGTGCCAAAGCAGCACAATGGCAAGAGCAGGGATACCAACTCCTTTGCTATCAGGCTATTTCCCCATCCACCAGACTCATGAGCTTAGGGGTCAAGTTTTAGGGTCTTCCTCTTCATGAAGTTTTGATAGAGTTTGATAGAGTTTTCTGAGTTCAAACATTGAACATCCATTGTCTCTTCACATCTGATTGACCTGATCTGAAGGACAACTGACCATAAGCCACCTTTTCAAAACAAAGATCTTACCCCCAGTCCTCAGCATCTTGCATTCCTACAACAGCTCTTGAAACTGATGGAAACCATATTTGAAACTATGCTCTGGTTAGCTACGCTATGTTACTGCTTTACATCTGAAACAAGTCTAGGAAGGTCTCCTCTCCTAGAGGCAGCAAGAACCATCATCAAGCTCCTCCAGAGGCTATCAGGGCTGATGTGGACTAAAATATTCCCTGGAGCTGATGTTTCCATGTCATGAATGATTTATGGTGACAAGATTTCCACAACAGAAATTACATTTTGATATCAAAACTCAGGAAGAATAAATCATAGTCTAAGAATCTCCTCCCTGTCGCCTTGCTGCACACACATGCACAGAATTCCTAAGCTTGTCTGAGAATTTGATGTGTCTTGTTGTGGCACTCCTCTCTCTAATAACTGGGAGAGATTATTCCCCACCCCAAGGATGATCCCAGCTGGCTTGCAAAGATACAGGAGGAGCTCTCATGGACACATCCAAAATCCCCATCACCACCAGCATCTCCCATCCTTGGCCAGGGCAACACTAGGCAGGCTTGTAAGAAAATTGAGGTTGCAGCTACACAACTTCATTGAACAAGTTTTTTCCTGCTTCTTGCGTTCCTCACACTATGCATGGGGAATTGCTAGGGATATATGTCCCAGGACTGCAGATATCGTTCCCAGCTGAAGAGAAGACTTTCTGGCTTGCCAAGGTACCCTCGGGCCATGATTCTGCTATAAAGATGAATGCAGCAGATTTATATGGGAATCAAGTGCTGCTGCAGGATCAAGGCAGGTTGGCAGTTTCACCTTTAGTCCACTTAGTCAGTTTTGCCATTTGAGCTGACACTAATCTTAAAAAAAAAACACCCTTCTTTTAAGCATGTATAAAATGGTATTTCGAAATATTGGAGTATTACCTTATAATTAGACCACTCAACATAATACCCAGCCCTCCAGACGGGGTATGGCTTACTTACCCATGACAGACAGTGCCAAAACTCATGTAATAATACAATTTGTCTGTTCGTATTTGCAATTTTTGGTTATTTTTTTCCCTTGCTGCTTTGGAGACAATACCTAATTACAATAGCAGTCCTCTTGGAGGAGGGTTGCCTGCAGATATACATATATATATATATCTTTCTCTTTAAAAATGAGTTCTGGGGGTTTTCCTGTTATTCTGGTGGCTTTCACTTTGGCAATGGACTTTCTGGTTACCCAGAAACATTCAGCTGAGAAACAGCACTGGGAAACAGGAGAAGTGTGAATCAGCAAAGAATCACTCAACCAGAAGATATTGGCAGACCAATGAAACTGACTGGAAGGAGTTTATAAGGCTTAAACAGCTTTCGTACTACTAATAAACCTCCTCTTATAGGCATTAGCTGGACCAGGATATTAGGCTGCTAATTAAGCAAGTAAATGACAACAAGCACATTATTGCCACAGTTATCAGCACCTGCGCAGGTATTTGGGAGAGCATTTCTAGCAGCAGAAGCAAACCACACGTAGTGTGGTGTGACATTAAACTCTCCTGCACACCAGAAATTGACCTGATTGAGTTACAAAGGTGCACAACACCGCAGCAAGCAACGGAAATTCAGACATAAATCCACGTGTTCTTGCTCATTACCCATTTTACTCTTCATGGCTGGAGAAGTCTGGTGAGACAGCTTGAATCACTTTCCTCAGGGACTTCCAAGAAGCTTTAAAGACACAGAAGAAAGCCTGGAAGGCGCAAACCTGCTGGAATATAGGGAGGGCTACAAACCACCTGACTGAGTCTTCAGAAGGTTAGATGGCAATTCCACACTAGCCATGTAGATTCATTAGCTACTGAATGTCAATGTGAATTCCCTAGCTAGTGAATTAACTGTGAATCCAACTCTTTTGGACACCAATCTTGATGAGAGTTTATACAGGCTATAGTTAAGTGAAATACCTTTTTCCCTGTATGTCTACTTATAACAGAAAAGTCCTCTCTCCCTAGACTTCAGAGCTGGATTTTGACTGCTTCAGACACTACCAACTTCCTTTTTCAGTTAATTGTTCTCAGTCTTTAGGCTCTTGGGAGCCTTCACTAGAGAATTTTTGGTTGGAAAATGCCATTATTTTTATGCCAGCAAACTTTTCTGAGAATCCTCACCTGGAAGTTTGTTCATGACCCAGGAAGGAAAGGGAGCAGGAGACATCTTATGGCCTGAAATCTCTGGGATTTCCTTGACCTGGAATGCTGTGTCCTTGCCTTTTACACACTTTGCTCAAGGTGTTGCTGCCCACGAACACATACCTTACTCTTGAGAGAATAAAATGAAAATTTGGGGAACCTGAGAAACTTTGAAGCTCAATGCAGAATTAACTGGTACAAGGCAACAATGAGCCTTAGATGACATTCCCCTTGAAAGGATGTCAGTGTGCTTGTGTTTTTTTCACCTATATGCCAAACAGACACCAAAATGGAAGTACCCTACTAATGGAATTACCAGCCACAATTAGCACCATTTCCATTTGCCCTAAATAGCCAGCGATTTCACCGTGCCCTAAATAGCCACCAATCTACCTCTCCTTAATGTTAATGAAGCAGAGTAGTGCTCACACACACGAGTATTTCTAATTCAGAGGATCCGAGGGAGCCTGCACGCATCATTAACATGGAGAGCTTCATTATCGGAGGAAAGAGCCTTCCCCTCAACTTCCCCTGGCTTTATTTGAAAGAAACTAGGAGGCAATGGTCTTAATGCAAAATTAACCCTCACTTTAAACTGCTGGAAGCCTTTACAAACTGTAAGGGGAAAAAAAAGGATGAGTCATTGGAAAGGCTGTATTTTTATATTGAAGCAGGTTTCAATTAAGGAGCAATTTGCTTTAGAAATATGGCAGGATTACTGGATAGGACTTTACAGTCTGAGCCACAATTTACCAATTGCGATTGTATAAACTATTATGCAATTTAGCTCAAGTGCATTGTGCAGAACTGCTCAACATAGATGAGCCACAAAGGATTTGTTAAACCAATCAACAACATCAAGTAGAACAAATATTAACTCTCCTGTTTATGTTTACCATTAACTCACTTATCCTAAGGGTCCATATCTGTGTGTATGAAGGCAGACACTCTGTTTAGCTCCAAATGCTTTCTGGTTTTGATACATTTGTAGAATAATCCATTATGATTATCCCTCTCCAAAACGGGAAACAGTATAGCATTGAACTTTAAATGGGACACCAAATGTTTATATCAACTGTCCAATTTCTTGTTGGCCAAATGGAGACTAATTCCAAATTATGACCATACCAAACACTTTATAGGTTTGATGCTGGGCCCAAACATAGTTCATTTTATTTTAATTGGCCAGAATTAAGAATTTTCAGCTGTTTTCAGTAAATATGTGCATCCTTGTTGAGAGACCAAGGGCATGATTCAAATCAGCCTTATATTATTAACCCTTACCATCAGTGAGTATTTTGCACGCACAGGTATTTTCAAAAATAACTAGATATTTTTCCCTGATCCTGCGTAGCCACTATGGGATAGGTCTTCTGAAAATTTGAGATGGTCTCCCAGTAGCAGAAAGGGTTGTGACTGACAAACTAAGATGGCTACATTTAAGGCAGTTTTTGAGTTTGTTACCCCTGGCTTCCTAACTCTTCTCTGTTTTTAAATCAGTTCCCCAGCTCCTATAGTTTGCAGGCTGGTATATTAAGGAAAACTAATCAGAACTAAATTCTGGGCTGGAAAGTGGTTGGTAAGCAAACAGTTCAAACATCTCTGCAGTGTAAGCAAAGCAAAGACCTGTGGAGGAGCCCTTTGTCCCTCCACTTATATCAGACAGAGCTCTGAAGCTTCCAAAATGGATCTTAAAATATGAACACTGGTACTTTGGGCATGTTTTTACTGCACCTCCATTGCCTACTTGCAGTCCTCTACCAATTCATACAAAATTGGGGTTAATAATCCATTGGTTATGACAGTGAGACCCAGCTGGCATACCTGGCTTGGACCTATCTAGCCCAGAAGAAGAAACCAACAGGCTTGACAGCATTTTCCTTGCAAGAAAAGAAACCATGGGGTGAGGAAATGCTGTCTCAATGCTAAATACATCTCCTTGCATCCAGAAACATCCCAGACAATGGTCAAGCTGAGAAGGTAGACCTGGAGAAACATCTTCTCTTGCATACTCATAAGCCTGTGCAAGATCTGGCTTTGATGCCAATACTCCAGGCTGGAGGGTAAATGGAAAGGGCAAGAAAGTGCTCTTGGCCAGCAGTTCTCCCTCTCTACTCTGCCCTGGTGAGGCCACATCTGGAGTACTGTGTCCAGTTCTGAGCCCCCCAGTTCAAGAAGGACAAGGAACTGCTGGAGACAGTACAGCAGAGGGATACAAAGATGGTCAAGGGGATGGAGCACCTGGGTCTTTTCAGCCTGAAGAAGAGAAAGCTGAGGGGGGATCTTATCAATGCTTATCAATATCTAAAGGGTGTCAAAAGGATGAGTCCAGACTCTTTTCAGTGGTGCCCAGCAACAGGATAAG